AAATTCTGGCCCAAAAAATTTTGGTCAAAAAAATTTTGGAAAAAAAAATTTTGGTCCAAAAAATTTTGGGAAAAAAATTTTGGGAAAAAAAAATTGGGTAAAAAAATTATGGGAAAAAAGATTGGAAAAAAATCTGTGGACCGAAGTAAAACTTAATAAAGTTAACCGAAGTTAAACTTAATCCGCAAAGGCACACGCATTCTATATTTTAGAGAATGTGCTATTGAAAAATCGCTCGGTAGTATACAGTCGATAATTTTGAGCATTGCCTTGTGGATGAATTTGTTTATCTAAAAATTCGATGACATTGTCATCGATAAGAAGGTAAGCGATAAACGCATGCGATCGATGTCTTTCGTTTTTTCGGTTCTTTCATCAAACATTTCTCTATAGAATCTTGCACCAGACATTTTGACTGGTACTGGTATAAATAGTAGTAGAACAATTTATTTTTGTTACTTATATATATAAAGTAACATTGAATACATAAGATGATATCTATACTTACAACTTAAAAAGTCATAACTTTATTTCAAATTTTACATATAATGGAAATTTTGAATTGAAAGTGCCCAACCAGTCATTTTGACTGGCGTGGTATACCTGGTGTTAAATAACAGAACAATCTAGTTGGTATTGGTATCTTGCCTTGGGGCAAGTTACATGAACTTCCCGATGTGTAAATGATCGACTTAATCAATAAAAAATAAATTAATTTGTGAGCGATTAAAAGTATTCCGAGTGGATTTGTTACAACTAATTAAACTAATTAAATTAATAATTAAATGTGGTCGAAAAGTTTAACACTTTTTTCCAAATTTTAAAGAAACGTCTCTGACGATCGTCGCACAAATGAGGACAAGCGTTAGTCCTCATTGAGACACATCAAATGGTTTTCAAATTTCTGAAATCAGGCGTTTTTGAGCAATCGTCGATAAAAGATCTAATTTTGACAAATGCCAAAAAAAACGATACTAATTTTTGCAAACTTTGACGAATTTTTAAAGCTAAAGGAGTTATCGTAGGGCCGTAATATTTTAATATGATCTAGAAGACTATGGTATCTACCGTTAAAAAATAATAAAAATGGTCCAATTTTTTTTTAATACTTTATTACAAGAAAACGGCCCAGCCGATCTCTACCAAAAACTCATCAGCACGATTCCCAACCAATATCTTTCGAACGGTTTTTGAATTTTTAAAATCGATTCAGAACTGCGGGCTAAAACGTGGACAAAAAATTTTTCACATTCCTGTTATTTACAAAGAAACGGCTTGGCTGATCGTCGTGCAAAATTGATAAACGCTAGTCCTCATCGCGATACATCGAACGGCTTTTAAATTTTTGAAATCGGTCCAGCCGCTTTTGAGAAAACGTCGATTTACGGCAAAAAATCTGTTCACGCACATCACGCACACACACACACATCGTTAAGTCACATAGGCCAAACTATAGTTAAACTAATACAAGTTCTAAGTAATTGAAAACTTTGGGCTGACGTACGGTTAAGTAATATTGAATGTTTACAGTTAATGCTAATTAATATTAATCATATTTTTATAATATACAATATTTCTGATTAAAAATAAATATTTTTTGAAAATTGTACTTATTTCAATAGATTATTTCATTTTCATTTCTATATCACCATAGCAGCTTGTGCAAAGAAGGAATTGCAGTATTAGAGATCAAGCAACAAAAATTTTCGACCACTGATATAAAAACTGAAATTGTTTGAAGATATTGTGTTAATCACGTAAACGTTAAAAAGTTTTAAGCATTAAATTTCAATTCGCAATTACCTAACTAAAATTTTAAATCGTTATTGCACAATAAGTTAAAGAAAAATAGAATTTTATGACGTTGGCAACTAATATTCCTGCATTTCCTTCCTGCAGAAGTTCTCTATTCTGTCGTCAGAGACGCACTCGCGACTCGTACCTACCTTAAGATATTAATTATTTTTGACAGCTCTCTCAGGCCATATTTCGTTGCCACGAAATATCGTGGCAATCGTATCGTATCGTTCGTTTTTCCGATCTAGAATGGGTTAGTTCTCGCTTCCCAATATAGATGGCGCTAGCGCCGACCATGGGTTCAAATATAAAATGCTGTAGAAATGCACCAATATTATATAGAGCGTTTGAATTCAAAATTAAAAAAAGAAAATGGAATTTTAAAAAGCATTTATTTTTATATATTACATACACGATTACAGAAGATGGTATACAGCTTTAGTAACTATACACACAATAATTAGTGAAATGTATATATATGTATGCATACAGCTCTCCAATCAGGAGGTTACAGATGTTTGTTTGGAGATGTACCAGCATCGTACCAGGGGAAATGTGAACGTCTTGCCAGTTCTTAACACTCGTCTCCACACAGACTTTTAGACAGATGCACATTATGCCTCCGTGCATGAACATAGGTATTGTGTGAACATGATGTGCCTTCGTCTTTTCTGCTAATCGAATTAAATACTTTCAAGTTGAAACTTGATATATTTGAAGTATGTATTCCTTACAAAGTAAAACGAAAACGAGACATGTGCTACCATGGCCGGTAATCTCCGAACAAAACTCTGTAGCTCGATTTTAGTTTGAGCTGCTCTCCCTTGGAGCGCTCTTGCAGCGATTTGGCACTCATCTGGTAAGAATTTCAACGCGGGCAATCAAACGATTTCGAGAACGATCGGTTGCGTTTATAAGTGATTAGGATTAGTTTGCAAGCAAAATGTCGATGTGTTACGTTCCAGGGTGCACTAATACCAAAAATGCAAAATTGCATGTATTTCCAGCGAGAAATGACAAAGTACGTAATAAGAATAAAATAACCAAACATTAATCACAAATAAATATTGTTTTGGATGTTGTAGATGTTTGCTATTTGGCTGGTCAAAACTAGTGTTTTCTACTAGAACCTATGTAGTATGTAAAATGATTAATAATATTTACGGGCCTTCAACAATAAGTAAGTATTTTTATCAATATGCATACTTCAAAATACTTGCATCTATTACTACTAGTCTGATATAAGTTTTTATTATAGCATAATAACAGACATTTAAAAATGCTAGGAATTTTAAGGTTATAGTTATTGACAGATAAAATTGCCGTCAGACTAACCAACTCACTGATAGGTAAGTTTTTAAGAATTATTCTTGTACTAATAATAAAGGTTTATAATAAATAATTTAATATTGATTTTTTTCAGCAGTTTTTCTCTTGGAAGTAGTTATGAAACGGGTTTACTAAACACAAGTATTGATATGAGACGAATAAACAGGGAAAAACATTTATAAAGAAATTACAAGCCAGTCTGAAACATGCTGAAATATTTGCTGATCTCCCACTGGCATTGAATAATAGTATTCATAATGATATATTAAGTCGGCTAAGAAAAGATACTGAATTATTAAATGGAAGGAAATTCATGCTTAATGATAAAATTCTAGCTAAGGGGTAATTTAGGTTTGGCTATGTTCCACGAAAAGTTTGTGAGTAGTGATAGTTGCATTTTGATATTACACAGAAATATTATTATCTGCGTTGTTTAATGATCGTAAAGATAATCACATTGTACAGATTGACAGGAACTGTCAAATGGAAGAAAGTATATATTTGCTAATCTCTTTTTTATTTAGAGGAATAAAACACCATTAACGTGCACCCCTTATTTCTGATAGATGCCATAAGAAAACTATTAAGTACTTATACATTACTATTAATAATTTCCTTTTTTATGTTAATGATGATAATGACATTTTGTTCAACATTCACAGAAAATATTAACAGAAACAAAACAGTAACTTAATTGTTAATTAGCATTATTCGAAAAAAATATAAACTGAGTTGCTTGAGAAGATTATCGTATGCATTAATTTTGCAAATGATTTTTAAATATATATATTTTTTACTTTTTATATGAATATAATTATTTTTCTCTTTTTAGTTTCTAGAAATTTTGTTGCTTTTGCGAATAATGAAAGAGATCCGATAGCTTCTCAAATTTTTGCGAATAATGAAAGATATCCGATAGTTTCTCAAATTTTTTGATTTATTTATTATTGAGATCGAATTATGAGATGTGTTTAAAGTATTTATCTTGATCTAATTGTAATTATAAGTAATCTTTGCTCTAGAAATATAAATAAATATACCTATATATATATATATATATATATATATATATATATACATTTTTATTTCTTTTGTGTTTAGCTTATAAGGATGAATTTTTTCTAACCATGTGTGTGAAATACTATTGTTAAAAATAAATGCTTTTTAAAATTCAATTTCTTTTTTTGTAATTTTGAATTCAAACGGTCTATAATATTGGTGCATTTCTATAGTATTTTTTGTGCACACCCGTTCTACAGTCGACGCGTGCGCACCAAGGGAGAGCAGCTCGAACTAACCCCGGCAAGTTGACAGTTAACGTGGCAACGAAATATGCCCCGAGAGAGCGATCTATATACTCTTCTTTTATCTATGATCTATACATTTTTGAACATTAAGTAATTAATATTACTCATTTCTTGTAAATTTCTCATTCCATTGTAAATACTTTTTCTTAGTTACTTATAATTGTGAAATAGTTTTAATTATGTATAATAATTTTTACATTTATAACATGTCACTACTAATTTTAATTGTTATGTAAAAAATGTGTGATGTATTTGCAAATATATTTTGTTCTCATTTCTAATATAATTTATTTAGGTGTCCTTTTACTGTATTACGTATACGAACCATATCTAGAAAAAAATACCAGCGGTTAATTTACATACTGTACACGTGCTGCCATGTTTCGATCAGTTCGTTAATTAAAATTGATGTAACGTCTTATGCTTATTTATCTATGGTAACGTCAACTCATTTATGTTTATCATAGATGTTTACTTATCTATGCGTCAAATCGCCAGAGATTGCGATCTATTTATGCTTATTTATCTATGGATCCATCTCTCTTCCCAATTTGACACAATGACGTTTTACGATAATCTTTGAATTCAAACGAGTCAGATAATTTTTTTACGTACTTCATAGTTGAAACAACTAAATTATTAATTTAAGGGTTGAATAATTAGACTACGAATAATTTTAATAAAACATCACAATAATGTTTCCGAGAGAGTCTGCAGAATTTATTGTAAAACATGCAAAAAATGTTTCATTTAAAGAGGAGGGTATTCAAAAACTGTCAAAAATGGTAATTCGTTATCGTGTTCCTTCAATTTATCTATGTAACACGTTTTTATATTGATAGATTCTAGAAGATATAGTATCACATAAACTTACTCCAAGCAACTTTTCCCAACATGACCTTCACCCAAAACCTATGGACCCTTGGGCTCTTGATTGGATTTTTATTGTAGACACATTGAACTTTTGTTTTTGGACACCTGGCATAGGGAATTCTACGAAGTATAGAGTCAATGGCCACACAGGTATTATGGGCTGAAATTCTATTAGAATGAGATTGTTAGATCATGATTTTGTCCGCTTAATATTATCTTCAGTAACCTATTTATAATATAAACAATGTATATTATTTAATATACTATATAAAAAAATCTGCATATGACAGATTTTATAATCAAGGTCACTATACACTGATTTAGCAAAAAAACAAACTTGTCTGAATGAATCCTATGAAAGATTAACATATTTTTTGACAACTGATTATTATGTGCTCTGCCCAATTTTTTACTTATCAATATGTACACCAATATATATTTTGATTATTTTTAATATTTTATTTTTGTTATTGTAAAAGCCAATATTGAAATATACTGGGCCTCATATGAGGTATGACTATATTTAAAAGGCAAAATGTACTTTATATCAAGCATCCTCTTTAAGTATATGCTCTTTATGAATATGTTTTGTTTTTCAATGACATTTATTTATTAAATGATATTACGATCAGTCTCAATCGTTTTTACTCACCTTTGGTTCATTGACAACCAGTAACATAGTTCTAATTTGCTCATATCGTAAGCACGAAGTGACTTATGGAGTAAGGACATACTGAAGTGCTAATTTTTAAGAAGGTTTTTCACAAATAAATAGTTTGGTCCTCTTTGGGACATCAGCATATAATCCATGAGCTCAAAGGAAACAAATACATCATAACCAACCTTTGTCAGACTTAGAACGGGAAAAGAGGTCTTTGCAATAAATGCTAATCTCTTCTTTTTACCAGTTGATTCTTTGGTCTGTTTTCATAAATAGTTAGTGTAGAAAAGATAACCATCTTTAACAGGGTTGATTTTTTTTTTTTGGTATCAAATAAACTGTACGAAACAGTATTATGTATTTTTGTCCATTATATAAGTGTTCATTTTGTTTGAAAGTGACCAATGACACCCAACATCTGATAAGATTATAATTATGGCTTTCTTAACATTGCACTGTCGTGGAAATGTTACTAAAACTAGCTAATTTTTAAATACCTACTATATCATTTTGTCCATATACACTATTTTGTCTGTATTTTTCTTATATATACATACTGACAACTGTACTTGCAAGATATATAAACAGAATTATATTTGCCATTGGATGAATATGACCATGCCTTGTTTGCTCATATATAGTAGTAAACAACTAAACAATTTTCAAATGCACATGAGTTATATTCATATATTAATAATCATAGTCATATGTTATTTAAATATTGCGTTGCAGGTCCACATAGAAAGCTGAAATTGTTCATGAAATTAATGGAATTATTTTTGAAAAATAATTGAGCAAAGTGTAACATTTCATTGTTTTTGGAACAAATTATACTCATCTTTGAAAGACAAATAAAATCATTATAATATTGATGCAAGGAAGATTCAATATAATTATATGATAAACTAATTTTTTATTGAAAGGCAAATTCAATTATCACATTGTAAATATGTAATTTATTTAAATTATACTGAATTTGAATTTACTACTTTTCACTATACTAGGTTATTTTGCACTTTGTGCCGCAATAAACCGAGCAATGAAAGAGGGTATTGATATAACAAATCCGAAATATTATTCAAGTATTGATGTAACTAGTTTGCAAAAATTAATGCGATCTGATGATGGTGTAACAAAAGTTCCTTTATTGCCAGAGAGAGTAAATTGCTTGCAACAAGTGGGTCAAGTGTTGCTTGAAAAATATAAGGGCACTTTTAAAAATTGTGTTCTAGAGGCTGGTAGTATTGAATGCATATATTATTAAAATATTTAAGTAGATGGTTTTAAAATTTGTTTTTTTTTAGAAAATTCAGCCCAGAATTTGTTGAAGCTGATAACTAATGATTTTATTTGTTTCCGAGATGAAGCCTTGTACAATGGACAACGTGTATCTTTCTATAAACGGGCACAGATTTTAGTCGGTGATGTGTGGTCATGTTTTAGTGGAAAAGATATAGGATATTTTCATGATATTGACACTATCACTATGTTTGCTGATTATAGAGTTCCACAAGTATTAGTACATTTTGGTGCCATGGCTTACACAGAGGCCTTGTATGAAAGACTGGCAAAAGGTAATGTTTTTTTGTTATTTTGAATAAGACTGAAAATTTTCTAATAATCCTTGAATAAAAATTCAATACATGCATCAAATGTAAGAATACATAATATTCAATGTTTAAGGTGGCTTCATGACAATGAAAAAGCATATTTAGCATATGATACAAAAAATTCTGATGCCTATATATAGTAGTATAATATAAATTATTATATGAATAAGTTTATAAAAGTTATATTGGGGATGGGCAAAAATGTGGTCTCAGAACAGAGTTTTAAATAGTATTTTAAATATTATCAAAACGGTATCCAAATAATTGTTTATAATATAAAATGAATGAAGAATGAATGTTTAGTGAAATTAGACAACTATATGATTCTGAAGTTTTGTATTTTAATAATTATTTTTGCAGAGGAACTGATGCCAAATGGATCAGACGATGAAATTGAAATTCGAGGTACTTCTATTTACATATGTGAGCAGATTAAAAACTTTATTCGAAAACAAATCAGGGATAATCAAATACAAACAATATCGGAAAATGATGTGAATGGAATACTAATAGATCATTTCTTATGGGATTATCGAAGAAAAAATGCTGAAATGCTAAATTATATTCCATTTCATAAAGTTCTTTGTATTTACTATTAATAATAATTGTTATATTAAAACTGTTCTGGTCGCTTAAATTTAAAATTTGAATCTTTTAATGCATGTTTTGGAAAGGACATGAAAATACATCATTTTTAATAACTGAAATATTTATTTCTTTCATACATTTAGCATATTAACAGCAAATAATCTTTTTTACTACAAACATTTGTAATAATGTTTGTTTTCTATACAGATTATTTAAGCAGAAAAAGACTACGAAAGCACAGAAATTTTAAGATTTTAATGATCATGCAGAATAATTGCTAGATTACTAAAATTTAATCTTATTCTATGTGTTTAGTAATTTGACCGCCAATCTTAACTTTTAGATTCGTGTACAGCAGTCACTAAAATAAAAAAACACAGACATCTTTTTTTCTGTAGACCTGGGGTATTTTAATGAGAATTTAGAAGTATTTTGATTGCGTTCATTTATTTATTTGAAAATATAATTATAAAAAGTTTTCACATTAAATTTTCTATGGAAAGTATAATAATTTGATATGCACCAATGTAAATTACTTCTTCCACAAATATTTGTTTGATTTAATTATTAATTAAAGTTTGTTTAATGGTTTTAAATTTTAATTTCGATTTTTTTTATGTCAATAATTACCACAAAGAATTATAAGACAAGAAAACATTCTGGATGTTCTATTCTAATGATAAAAACTGTAAAAAAACAAAACAATGAGCTAGTTTTTAATATTGATAATGGTGCACATAATCGTTTTTATAGGAACAGCAGTTTGAAATAAGAAACTTTAATGAAAAATATGATGAAATTTACGCGTGATAATATTTTTTCCAGTCAAAACCGGGACGGCAATTTATAGTTATAAAAATCCGGGATGGGGGGGGGGGGGTAGGTCTTTAAAATAACAAATGCCATTTAAAGATACAATAAAAAAAACAATTTAAGGATACAATAAAAAAACCGTTAGAATGATTCAAAAAATAATTTATATAAAAAAAAACGGTTTTTCATTGTAATTGTTTGCAATATATTGCGGACTTTTTGTAAGAACTTTATTTTTCGATTATATGTAATACTTTTTTATCTACGATATTATATTATAATTATATTTTTCGATTTTATACTTTTCGCTTTTAAGCCTTGTATACAATTCTATTCCACTTTCTTCATAATTAGTTAACTAATTAAAAAAATAGCACTTGTTCGTTCGGTTTCATAAGTTTTGGTAATTTACCTATAAATTTTCGAAAAACCGGTATAATCCGGGACAAAAGATCTACATTCGTGACAAATATTGCTTTTAGAAAAACCCGGGACACAATATATATTGGAATGTTTTTGCAAATAGACAAAACGTCACACCTAGTTTTGTTCTATTTTTAATATAAGATTTTTGAAATTATGTAACATTTTAGAAGATTCACTCAAAAGCGGTGTTAAAATATATATATATGAAGAGATGGGCAGGCTGCAATTCGTCCCAAATTTTTGTATACGGAAACTTAGATTGCAAATTTCTCGATTAGAATTTCACCTCTGACCGAATTTGATAACTTCATATGAGAAAGAAAGAAATGGAAGTAAGAACAAGATTTTTAACTGCAATTATGTTTTGTTTACGATCGATTTATCTATACAGGAAAATAAAGAAATATATAAAAACAAATATAATTTTGGCAATAATATTTAAGGCCAAATATGTTTATGAAATATTTGAAATGACATTAATTAGACTTTTTTTTAGCGAGTATAGTATCCTTTGCATTTATTTATATTTTTAATCTAAACTTTTCTGAAAGTTTTCAAATTTCAGATAAAATTTTGCTAGTTTTTCTTTAAAAAAATATTTAAATGCTTTGAAACTAGGCGTAAAGAGCACTTTGCCTTAAGATAAGTTGCAAAAACTTTTCGATTTATGTCAATAATTGATTGTTAATTAATATAAGAAATCAATATAATAATTTGAGCGATTTATAAGTGTAACGAGTTGATGTAAAGCATTAATTGCGCTATTAGAAAATACTTCGCGTATTATTAGGTGCGTGTTCGTTTTTCAAAAATGTATATTTAAACCATTTGTACATTCGTAATGTGGTTATTATAGTTTATTCAGTTTGAACGGCAAATGGTTTAAATATACATTTTTGAAAAACGAACACGCACCTAATAATACGCGAAGTATTTTCTAATAGCGCAATTAATCCAAGCTTCAATTAATTATTATAATTAAACCACTTGTCGTAGGCCTCTAATATTTTAGTATGCTAAATATTAATCTTACTTTCTTACAAAAAAAAAAAACGAACAAAAAATTATCTAGTGGGAGGATTTATCAAGTTTTAATGAATAATTTTTAAATTGTTGAAATTGATTCAGCTGTTGTCGACAAAAGATCAAATTTTGACTCACGTTAAAATGGTCAAAATAATTTCGATCATCAAATTAATCTTCACCTTTATCGATTTTTATCAAAACTATTCCCAACCAACCTTTTCCTTTCAAATCTTATTTTGTCAAATATATTTCGAGCAGTTTTTGAATGTTTAAAATCGATTTAGGATATTTGGCTAAAACATGGACGAAATTTTTCTACTAATTATAAAGAAACGGCTTGGACGATCGTGCTGCGTCAAATATCATTGTAGTTTGTGAGAAACATCGACGGAAAGTCAAAAATTGGCTGACATACACACACACACACAAACAGTTTCCAAATGTGGTCTCGATTCAGAATGACTTCCAAAGAACAGTCTTTTTCGTGAAAAAGAACATTGGGAAGTTAAAAATGTGAATTGATATAATATTTATTTAAAATAATTATGTAATGATTTAATTTACTTTGTAATTTGTTTAAAAGGCAGACTTTGAAAAATTAAAAAATTAAATATTAATATGGATATAATGACATTCAATTTTAATTTTGACAAATTATTATTATTATCTAGTTTTGACTAACTATTTTTTGAGGGCATATACTTGCGGACTTTTTAAAGTTTTTCTAATGTTGTTTCAATATTAATTTGTATAAACAAAATATATAAACTAAAAATGGTCAAATAAAGATAATTTTTATGGAATTATAAAGATTCCAATCATTATTAGTAATCTTTGCTAAATATAGCACTTTAGGTGAAAAACTGTCCAAGTTAAAGAATATTACAATTAAAAAAAATAACATTCATAAAAAATACAAGTTTATAACGATTTTCGAACTTCATTTTCATTTATGATAGACATTATCGACCGCTATGTCTAGTTATTTTTTGCAATTTCTTGCAAAATTGCTTGAAAATTCTTAATCCTCTGTTTATTTTAACAATTTTTTTCAACAATGATGAATTGTAGGTTTAATATTTTTACGAATGCCCTTAAACGACATTCGATTGATCGTGCTTACTAACAAATTATTGTAAGATTTATATTTTTTTTACATCTAAGCATCTAAACATAAGAAAACAAGCAACCCAGCAGTTGTCCTTTCTAATTGTTATATAAACATAATAACCGTAGAATATGTATATAAAAAGCTCTTAAATGTTTAATAAGAAGAAACCTACAATTTCTTTACTGTATTCATTAAGGACTTCTTGCTACAAATAATAATTTCGATCTACATTAATGAAGTCGAAGAAAACCTGTTGTACAATTAATATTTATATATACGTTTATTTTATTGTACCTCAAAATAAGCGCTAGTTATTGACCTTCTATCTAAAGTACAAAAAATCGCACTTATTAACATATAGTATGCATACAAGAATAAATTTACATAAGTTTTTTGTACTCTTCAATCTAAGATGGTCAATAACTGTCTATTTTTTTCGATGTGATTCGAATATACTTTGATTTGAATTGTATTTTGATTTGAAATTCTGAACATGTGTTAGTGTGTTTACAAAAAACAAACACGTTATATAATCGTGAGTAATAAAAAAATGAATTTAGTATACTTGTTTAATTTATAAGGTAAAAAAATCCGTTGGCGCTGAATTAGTTATACATACAGATGTTTGATCATGTTTTAGCAGTATTGAAAAGCACGTAATAAAAAATAACATTGCAAATGAATTATGTAATTTAACCAGGTTTCAAACATCATATTTTATATGAATAGAATATTTATACTACAACTGCTACAAATGTAAAATATGAAGAAGATCTTTGTTTTAATGTTCCATGTTGTTTTCCAAATATAAACTTATTACTTTATGTTGGCAAAAATGTTACACTTTTGGAAGACTACCTATTATTTTAACTGCACATATACGAGTATAACTATAAAAAAATGTCTCCGAAAAATATGTTACAATTTCATGAAATGTAACAATCAAATATCAGAACTTTGCAGAAAATCTTAAAAAAAACTATTGATTTAAAACCTCTTTTGAACACCGAGAAAAGCTGAGACACTTTAAGCGCTATAAATTATTAATAGCAATTATGACCAGATGAAAAGCAATTTCTTAAACAATTATAGAAATTGATAATTTTTTTTATCTATCTTATAATATGACAGTAAACAATTAAATAAGTAAAAACAATAAATCATAAAGAATTTTGCTACTTGTACCTTATTTCTTTGCAAATTTGATAATATATTATTAAAATATATTTTGTAAAGCAAGTTGAACAGAGATGTTTTCTCTACAGAAAATTGAAATGATGGACTTATTTCAAAATAAGCGTGGACAAAAATTTAACATTTTTAGCATTAAAATTTTTACATATTTTGACACAATTTAATTTTTTGGATTTTTCGTTTCAATATTAATTTTAATAATTCATTTTCAAAGCGTTCGCGCTGCGCGACTTTTTCAGACAATACGATATTGAGCTGTCAATACGAATCGAATGTTTTTTGAACAATTCGGAAATCGGTTAATCCGATCATACCATATCATACATACATCCATATTTCTTAAGATATGCCAAAATGTTCAGAAGGGTTTGTAACGTAAATATATACAAAAATTATCATTTGCGATTACTATAGCTCATCCTTCAAAAATTTAAAAAGTTCTCATCGAGTTTGATCTTGAAAAGTTTTTAAATTTGTGAAATTAATGTGTGTATGATTTGATACTTCTTCTAAAAGGTTATTCGGATTTTAATATTTCTTTTTAGAGTTTGTCAAAAGAAATTTTCAAGATTTAATGAACGATAAAACTATAGTAATGTTTTAGGAATAAATGGCAAAAATTACAAAAAAAAACACTTATCATTGACATTGAAAATATTTAAACTGTCATCTGCCATAAATGTCAATTCACTTGAAATTTGAATTTAGCTGAAATTATGAGCGTAGATAAAATATCAATTAGATAGAATATTATATACGAAAAAAATGTAATGTATACATTATTATTGCCGAAAAGCAGCTGAGATGTGCCAGAAATTAAAATAATATAAGATACAGTCAACAGCATGTTTGGCAGATGTATATTATATTATTCAGTTTAATAAACAACGCAAAAAATCTAAAATTGCATATACATTTTTTTTAAACTTATGCATGTTGCACTTAGGTTTACTTTACTAAATTATTTAACAATGCAAAAAATATTTTTACTTAATAAAAAAAATGTTTTAGAATTTTGTTTCATGTGTCAAAAATTCATTTGTTTGGCATTGGATATGGAATATTTACCAAGTTGATCTTGGATTCAAGAGCCCTCATATGAACTAGAATTTACAAATTAATTTACCTAAAATTTAAACAATGTCCTTCAGAAATTATAATTGCCAAAAAGCAACTAATATATCGTACGAGATTATGAAAATTATAGACTAAATTATTAAAGCAATTATGTTGTGAGGTAAAAATCAAGTGTGGTATTGTTCCTTTACCGCAGATACTATATTATTTTTTTCTGAATTTCTTATACTGCTTATATTATGCTAAGACCATAAATGAATCACTAAGGCGGGACATCAAATAGGATAACAAAATAGTTGATAAATTTGGAACTTTTGAATTGAAGACGTAGGTAAAGGACAACAGCTGGATAATTATAAATCTTTTCAGCTGATTGTGATTAAAATAAAATGTATTTAAATATTTGGATTGTTAGGTAACTAAATAATTATTTTTTTCGTGATTATTCATATAAAACATTAATTAATCGCAATATTGTTATTATTTAAAAAAAACATGTAAATTTTCAACTAAACACTTCGATCCTGCTCAAATTAGCGAGAAATTGTTTGCATACGGTGATGTTTATATTATTATTGTCCGTCTAATATAATTCAACTAACACATCCATATATTTTGATCAAAGATTACATTTTAAAATTCATTTTTTATGTTGCCGGTTCTTAGAATTAGCGGGAACATATTAATATGTGTTTACATCGAACTAATACATTTGCATTGCAACATATATAAAGTCGTATCAGTAGGATATTAACCAAGTCCCATCTGGATTCTCGCCTAGTAGATCTCGCATAATAATCGACCGATTTAAAAACAAGCAAAAATGAAATTTTTAGTGATCGCTTTAGCTTTATTCGTTGCTGTTTCGGTAAGTTTCCAAAAGGAAAGCAGATTTTTTTTTTATTTTTAAGCTACTCTTGTTATAGCTGTTACAGATTAATATTTAAATTGTTTATTACATGTCGAGCAACAGTCCTATTTTGAGCAAATTAATTAAATATTATAATAAAAAAAATAATGAGCATAATATATTTTCTTACAGTATGCAAAAATTGCCAAAAATTCATACAATTTTATATTATACCTTTCCTGGAAAATAAATAATAAATAGTAATTGTAGTTTGTTTTAAATATAAAAGAGTAACATATCTCAATCAATTAAATCTAAAGCTTGGGTTTTGGATTTATGGTATAGAATATTAATAACATATTTCATTTTGCAGGCAGTAACTGAAGAGCAAAAAGAAAAAGTAAGGAAATATGGTTTGGAGTGTGTTGAAGAGTCAGGAGCTGATAAAGAAGAAGTCAAGAAATTAAAATCTGGAGAAACTACAGAAGTAAGTGTAATTATTACTTTAAGAAACCCATATGTGCTATAAATTTGGTTCCAACAAAATTCATAAATATGCTTTTATAAAATTATAAATTGTGTGTACAGTTCAATGTGTGAATATTACTTCATAATAATATTGTATGCTTTAGCTATCAAGTGCAGTATGGTTAAAATATTAAAATGATATACTCTTAACTTCCCGATAGAGAAGTTTATATTTTCACAAAAAAATCCGGCTTGTTTTCTGAATTTTTTGAGACCAAATTTGGAAAAAGAATATTATGTGTGTGGCCGTTTTGTTTTAAATAGCAAACAAGTGCAAAAATTTTTGTCCACGTTCTTGTAAACTCTGTGAACTAATTTTGGAAATTCAAAAACTATTCGAAAGATATTATTTAAGAATCCTGCTCACTAGTTTGTGACAAAGTTCGGCTGGGTCGTTTCTTCGTAATTGACTGTTAATTTTTCTTATAACGATTTTATAAAAGCCTCATATGACGATAGAGTTCATATTATTAACAAACATACTTAAATTTTGAAAACCTACGACAAGTAGTTTAATTATAATGGTATTAAACGGCAGCCTTTTTAGAAAATTCTTTGTGTATGCAGTTTCTCAATAATGTCCAATATTTAAACGATTTGTGGAAAATGACTAAAATGTTTAAAAAATTTGTGTAACTTGAAGAACTGCAATAGTTTTTCTCATTATAATGCTGTACAGACGCGGTATTATTTTAATTCACTCAAGTTGATATATGGATTTCTTAAAATCTATTATTTACACATGTCAATAAGTTTATGGAACTTGTCGGCAAAATACTGCTTACACACCGAGTTTCATTACGTTTTCAGTTAAATAATTTATTTGTTTGGTCTAATAAAATAAATGATTGTAATGTAACTACCGCTATATACATTTCATTTATTAATTATTATATATTACTTTTAGGTTGATCATAAAGTTAAGTGCTTCGTTAAATGCTTCTTCCGTAAGACAGGTAAGATTTTTGTAATTCTCTGTCATTATTTGCATTATATATTGTAAATACATTCGGTTGCAACGTCTATGGAAATTAAGTAATTTGCATATTATATATATACATACATACATATATATATATATATATATATATATATATATAAATATTTGTATGTATATATCTGTAAATTGAATTCAAGGATTTAAAATCGAATTTTAACGCCAAAATTTTCATATAATATGCAAATCACGACGACACAGTAAATTGAATTTATATTTTGTGACAATATTTGCGAATTGTACCCGGTGTACACGACGCCAGTATTCCTTGTAACAGGATTTTTGTCGTAAGGTTAGCAAGAATTTTGCGCCAGATTTTCACTTATTTTATGATTAATAGTAATTTCGTGCATTTTCAAATAGATTCTTATAAATATACACTGTGAATTTCACAATTCATATTTTATAGGTCTAAAATACACTAATGCTTGTAAGTGTACAAACAGAGAATTGTAAGAATTGTAAACAAAAACATATATGTATCGCATCAGATTAGGATTAAGTGAAATAATAATAATTAAAAGATAATAAAATGCTTCAGTTTAATATAACAATTATTGATTTTGAAAATCAGTTTATCAGATTTTTGAAAATCAATTATATTTATCGGATAATTAATACTGATATAAAAATAGTAAAAAGGTTCGCTAATTTTATTTTTTTTAAATTTTGAATAATTTTGCTAATTCAGGTATACACGCTCTGTTTAGCCGGCAAGGGTTTGCAAATAAAATATATTATCGAAATAATTAATAAGATATTTAATATTGATATTTGATTATTGAACCACTTACACTTTCAGAATTTCTGCAAGTTTAGGCATTTACCCACTAATTTTTTGTTGTTTATATATAGTTTCTAAGTTTTTGTTTTAGTTCTTATTTATTAGTTGCTAAATAAGAAATCCGGATTCTTTATCCCTCTTTTTTCTTTGATAAAATGCACTACTATTTTTTATGTCTTGTAGTACTTTCTTAAAAGTTTTCTTCGCGTAACAACAGTATTACCAAAGATTATATATCTATACTTTTTTATACTACTATACTTTTATACTTTTTTAGCTTACATAACACGTTATATTGACATTACTTAGGTTTCTTCAACGAACACGATGAACTCCAAGAGCAAGTAACCGTTGATAAATTGAGCTTGGATGCCACTGCCGAAACCCGTGAAAGTGTACAAGAAGCCGTTAACAAATGCAAGGGAGAAACCGATGCCGACCCATGTGTCAAGGCTTTCAAAATCTTCAAGTGCTACCAAGATTTGAAACACGTTTCCTTAGTTTAAGCAAATTCAAATAATCATTAATTTTTCAATATTACCATAGAAACATATTTTCCTCCTTTTATGCCTAACACAATTACAAATTTTCCGTTATACTTAATTCGTTGAAATCAAGTGTCATAATTGTACTTACGATAAAAATAAACTATTTCTTCCACAAATATTAGTTTTTTATAATATTTAATATTGTTTGTTTATAATTTAATATTTACCATTAATATAACATGTTATTAATAAGATTCAATTATATTCAGTTAGAAAACAAATTGGATTGCAAGAACGATTTTTGGGCAATTATTATGCAGGGAAAAGTCAGCAATATATAATTTCTTTAGTGGTTTATCACTTGGGTTGCAAACAATAAAGTTGAAATTTTAAATTATAAAGTAGATTTTATTAGCAAAATGATTCAAAAAGTTTTTTGGCATAACAGCTCATGTGCTGAATTAATTAAAGAAGTTTTGATTTAAAAAAAAAAAAACATAAAAAATGGTATAATTTTTGGGGGTTGGGAGCTTGGGACGGTTCTGGGGTGACCGGAGGGTTGTGATGTGGCCTCATGTAACTTTTCTATGAAAAGTTACATGAAATCTAATAGATAGATTATCTATTAGCCATTAATAATTTTAAAAATGTTTGATAAATTGTAATAAAGTATTACTAATTATTCTGACTAAATTCAAAACTAGATTCTATATTGTTTCCAACTTGATTATAATTTGCTTCCAACTTTATTCTGACTTTATTGCAATGACAATATTACTAAAATCTTGCTCAAATATTGCTAGAATGTTACTAAAGTATGAAGTCAGATATTACATATATATTACAGATATTACATATATATATATATATATATATATATATATATATATATATCGGGAACAAAATGCCACTGCCTCGAGACAAAATGCCACTTACACTTACAGTTTTATACGTATTCAGACAAAATCTCGAATTTGAATCATGACGGATCACTGTCAGATTTTTTGGTAAAACTAGCGGGGCGCATGACATCGTGCCTTAAGGCAAATTGCTGGAACTTCCCGTACCAAAAATTGTTTTTTTTTTAAAAGATTTACTCTGAAAAAAATAGATTTTTGAGAAACTATAAATTTTTGACAAAAAGTTACTTGTTTTGAAAAAATAAGACTTTTTGAAGAAAAAATTATTTTGAAATATTTTAGAAATTCTGAACTTTTTTTCCAAGCAACCGTACTGCTTAAACTGCATAGAGACAAAATATCGAAGCGTGTAAGCGCCGCGTCGCCGTCTAACGGATAAACATTGGTACGGAACCCATAAGAATGCAAACAAAATTTATACTTATCTATAAAGTATCTGATAATTGGATGTGCATATGTCTAATGATCATTTTTGACCGCCAAATGGAGTTTTTTTTTTACTTTTTTTACTAGATCTGCGAAACCGCTAGACCTGCCTTCATGAAAATGATCAGTTCTTCATCTTATTAATACAAGTAAAATGTTTTTTGAATTATTCAAATCGGACGCTCCGTTCTCTTAAAAACTGATTTACCGCTTTTGGCACTTTTGCCCCATATCTTCGGAACGGCTAGACCTGCCTTTGCCAAAAACTAATCCTTATCAATACGAATCGAATGTTTCATGTAATGAACACATACACATACACACACATACATCAATTTTTTCTAAGGTATGCCAAAATGTTCAGAAGGTTTTCAAACGTAAAAATATATACAAATTTTCATTTTCGATATTTTTGCGATTACTATAACTTGCACTACGGGAAGTTAATAAAGCCAACTTACTCTGAATCGACTATAATTTAAAATGCACATTTATTATGACTTTAAGATAGGTTTTTTTTTAAACTATTACTGCCATATCAGTAATTATGGATAAGAATAAAGCCAAGCCAATTTTTGCAAGGCAGAGGTATAGCGTCCATAGGCGGAAACCAGTATCAAAAATTTTTGGGGCCCTCTCTCTTACTAAAATCGCAATAGATTCTTAGAAATTTTGTTTTAGCCCAGGATCCTATTAAATTTTATTAGATTGTTACCAAAATCGTATTTGAATATTGCTATAATTTTGCTAAAGATGCTTACCAGAATCTTGCTTGATTCTTACTGCATAGAACTAGCATTTAATTGATTAACTTATTTGCATTGAGCCCAGAGTGTAAAAAATGCGTTTCGCTATTGACGTCTATGTCCTTTTGTTATTATTTAGATTAATTTTAGTTTTCAATAGAAAGCTACTTAAATGTGTTTAATGGAAATAAATGATATTAACAATAAAATGTGAAAAAATTAATTACAAATCTATTTAACTTCACGTGTTATATTTTTAAACTTAATATAATTTTATAGTATCATTAAACATAATTAAAACAATGTCATACGATTTTGTCTTTTATTCGAAACTTGACAATAATTTTACATGGAAAGTTGACAAAGCATGGCAACACCACGAAGAATCCAATGCTTTGGCGGTTTATCTGACGGAATCAGCATTCCTAAATTATAATATTAACCAATATGTACAAGGCCGATCATAATAATTTAATATTTATTTAACGATCGCGGTATATATATATATATATATATATATATATATATATATAACCCGCTTAAAAACCGTTTAAAATTTGTATAAACTTTATAATCAAGACTTTTGAAGAATTATTATTGCAAAACATCGTTAAATTGAGTACTTATATTAATATAAAAAGTACTTACCAATTACAAAATTTGTGGAATGACCAGTCGTACTTAAAGTTCCTCTTCTATCCGAAGTTTTATAAAGTGGACACACGTAAATCGGTTTTGGTTTCAGTTCATCACGCTTCAGAGGAATCATAAGTATCTGTAAAAAATTGAAAATACACCTTTAACGTTAATTATAGCATTATGCCTTAAGGAAACTTAAAATTAATTATTTAGTTTCTGAATTTTAGGAATTTGAAATAACTGTGTATATTTTTGAAAATAAATTCCGAATCATGTTCGATATTTTCAAAAAAATGATTTTTTTAACTTCCCGTAGGGTAAGTTATTGTAATGGGCCGAAAATAGGAATTGAAAATTTTTACATTTCTCGACGTTTTGAAGGTTTCTGAACGTTTTGGCATACCTCAGAAAAAATGGATGTGTGTGTGTGTGTGTGTGTGTGTGTGTATGTATGTGTGGATACAAATTTCCAGTCACGTTTTAGGGCGCACGGATCAACCGATTTGAATGGTTCAAAAAACATTCGATTTCTATTGATAGGGAAAAGAGCTGATTAGTTTTTGGCAAAGGCAGGTCCAGCCGTTTCGAAGATACGGAGCAAAGAGTGCAGAAAATAGAAATCGATTTTTTGAGAGAACGGAGTATCCGATTTGAATGATCTAAAAAACATTCAATTAGTAATGATTGGGAGAAGTGTTTATTAGTTTTTGGCAAAAGCAGGCCCAGCCATTTCGAAGATACGGAGCTAAATATGTAAAAAATGGCAGTTTTTGAGAGAACTAAGCGTCCGATTTGAATGATTCAAAAAACTTTCTGCTTGTCTTAACAAAATAATTGATTTTGGAAAAAAAAATTTTTTTTCAATTTTTTTTTTTTTTTTTTTTTTTTTTTTTTAGTTTTTTGTATATCGAAAATATTTCAGATTTTATTTTATTATTTTATATTAGACAATGATACAATATTTATAATAATCTATTTGAAAACATTCAGTATTCAACGGGAAGTTCCAGCAATTTGCCTTAAGGCACGATGCCATAATTGCCTCAAGACAGAATTCCACTTACAGCTAGTTATAATTTTGAAATTATTAAAAATGTTAGTTTTTGTAATGGTTGGAACAAATTTTTACAGCAACAAAATGTTTTACGAATAAATAAACAGCAAATACATGACATTTTGACAGTATTTAGTATGATTCAGTAGCATAATGTATGAAAGTTCAAGCGTAATGGCCTTGCCCAAAAATTGGTCTGTTGTGCGGCAGAATCGGTCCATTAATGTAAGATACATATGTTTTGTGTAAAAGAAACTAGATGTGACATTTTACCTCTATGTAAGTTAAAAAACTTAATATATTTGTAAATAATCGATATAATAAAGAAAAATTAAGACTTTGCTATTTAGATAAAACTTTCAACTGTTTATTTCAAAAATAAACTTTGCGCTTTATCTAGAATCTAATTGATATTTTTCATAGAGGTTCATAATTATATTAATTATAATATATATCCTAAAAGCGTAGCCCATTATTTCAAAATTTCTTTATAAGCGCATAAAAGTCTTAAGGGGGTATTCTATTGTAGAAATTAAAAAAAAACTATTTTTTTTTATTTCATATTTTCAAAGTTTAACTATCTAAGAATATGGGTACGAGAAGGTTTTTGAAAATTTTAATTATTTTCGGAAATATAGGCATTTTACTGACTCGGTCTCCATACTGGTTTGGCTTCACGCAAAACTTTAAATGCGTTTTTCTCAGAACAGACTTTTTCAGTACTGTTGACACGATTTCTCGTGTTTTAATCGACAGATTCACTTGAAATATACAGAAAGTCTTGTTTATAGACCTATCTATAGCCCGAACTAGGATTATCCCCAAATTCCAATTTTTACTATTTTTAAAAAATTCGAGAAACTCAAAAAAAAACAGTAAAAACACTTTTTTTTCAAACAGTCGCCAATTTGTAAAAAAAAAATTTTACACTCATCGCTAGTTCGGGCGATTGCGACATCATTGTAGATTTATAATCTTTTTATTTTTTGCATTTCCAAAGGCTAGGAGGGCTGAAATCATGTCAAGACTGAGGTGCCAATTTTTTGAGACCACTCACTTTATCAGCTGGCAGTTTTTACAATTATCAACTTTTTTATTTTTTAATTTTTGTTTTGTATTTTAATAATATTAATAAACAAGTGGTAAAAAAATGCATAGTAAAAACATTTATTGCTTTCTTTTACGACTTTAAAAATGATCTAAAATTCATCGCTCTACACTAGAATACCCGCTTAACATAATTACGAACAATTTGGCCGATCATTGACAAAAACTAATCAGCATGATTCGCAAATAATATCTTTCGAACAGATTTTAATTTTAAAAACTAATTTAGAATTTTTGGCTAAAACGCGCACACAAATTTAGCACCTTTTATCGCAAAATCTTATGGCGTTATAGCGAATGGCTTTTAAATTCGTGAAATTGGTGCAGAAAAATCGGCTCACCTTTTCGAAATTTCAGAATGATTTGAAATGCCGCGAAAATATAAAATCAGCAAATCGATTTTTCCGTCAGAAACTTTTTTTCGGAAAGTTTATAAAAAAATACTATAACCTAACCTTCTATGTAAACAATATAAATATACGGATATAGTACATTTAATTCAATTTAACCAAATTTAGTTAAAACGTTTAAAGAATTCGTTTAGTGAGCATCATATCTGATCCTAATTGATGTATTGTGATTCATTACTTACTATAGGAAAGGTATCAAAAAGAATTTTTGGAAATGATTCTGCAATAGCCATCTTTGATCTATCCCAACGTGCACCGTCCATAAAAACTCCCTTGACGTAAACTCCATCTTCTGGCGGCTCTGCAAAGTCATCCTGACTCATAATCTATAATAATTATAAAATATCTTATAAGAACAAGTTTAAACATATTTTACATAAAAATAATTTATACAAATGTTTACCAAACAAGTTAAATAATGCATTTGATTAGCATTTTATTATTAATTATTGCCAACAGCAAAAAATGCAAATTTTTAACAAAATATATTTTGGATATATTCAGCATGTTAGGAAGTTTCTGAACAAAGTCTGTGCAGATTGATGTTATTGATTAATTTTTATTATCAATAAATATTATTATTATTTTATATATAATGATTAATTTAATAATAAGTTAAACTATCGAAAAACTGTATACGTTTTTTAACTGTTATCCTCTTAATTTACAAAATAATAAAGAATATAAAAAATCATGATATTCATAGAAAAAAGTGAAGGAAATAGGTAACAAATATAAATAAAATAATTAATAATATATCTACACGATTTAGGAGTTTTTGTGTGCTAGTAAAAATCCATTATTGAGTTGTTAAATTTAGCAGCTAGTAATTGATTTCAAGTGTGTCCAAACTGCTATATAACTTTGATATTGAAGCGCATACATTATTTTTAATGGCCAGTTACGAATTAATATTTACCTCGTAATCAAATGAGAGAAGATCGATTGGTATCGTATATTTTCGAGCATAATTCTGTTGTGCTCCAGTCAAAAAAGCCTGTGTGAAATAAAATCCGGAAATCCAAAATACTATAGGAGCCCCATATTCGTACCAATCCTAAAAATTGGTCAATAAATCTTAATATACAATTTTTAAATTTAGAATTCTTATTTATTGCAAACAAACGATGTTCAATTTTCAAATTCTGTATTTAGTTCACCAATTTAGAATGATTCTTTCAGTCTAATTTAGTGCTTCATAAATAAAGAAGAAATAAACAAACAAAATTTATTAAAAATAGTTTTTTTTTCAATAAATATCTTGTAAATATTCTTTCTAAAATAAACCCTTGAGACTTCCAAAATTTTTCGAGTTGCTCAAAGCTCTGTTTATAAAAAACCCACAAGACATCTTAATTATTTCGAATTCGAATCTCATTTAGAAAATAATCATCACAGAATCTCGTATTATAAACAGAAGTATTATGTGTTTGGATTATACAATGTTTTGTTTTTGACATAAAAAATAAAAAAAAAACAAGTTTTGATTGAACAACATGTTTGTCTTAGGCGCATGTTTATTTTTTAATAATGTGTAATATATTATCAAAAATAACTAAGATATGATTTGTACAAAATTGAGTTATCTGCAACAGTTTCTCACACTTCAATGCGCTACAGCAACTCGGTAATTTATAAATCGCTCATAAATTAACAGATTTCTTATCTATTAAGCCAATTATTTAAACATGTCGGGACGTTCCTGCAACTTGCCTCAGAACAAAATGCCACTTACACCTAATTGAATAGCACTCATTGCCAATGTGTTATATGTTGACAATGTTTAGATACGAGATGAAAAAAATGGTACGAATAACGACAATTTTGATTTATCTGTTAAATTTTATAACAAATTTTACTCACTGAATGAAGTTACTCATTAAATATTTGTGAATAACGCTAAATATGTTTAGTTCGATTCCAAGGCTGCTGCCTTTGAGAACATAATGTAATTAATATTTTATTCTAAAAGATGAATGTTACATAAATGTAATGTTATTGCAACACATTATACGGCGTAATTTATTTGAATAATATTAATTTATAATAATCTCAGACCTGCAAAAATTTCAAACGCGCCAAGAAATCTATTACGTATGATCCGAGGGGTTTCATTGACGGGTAAGATCTTTCCATCCACAAACTAGGTATTTTGGAAGTGAGCATACTGGTGATCACATTTTCAATCTCTACGGATAATACAACCAAACCTGTAAATGAAAAAGTTTAGTTTAATGGTTTTAATTATTAGTGACATCCAATAATGACAAAAGGTCAAAACAAGGCTGGTGACTTCTGAGCAAATTACTTTTGAACTTGGAAGTCAAATGATGTACACTCCTAGTTCTTATAAAAATGATTTATAATTATGCTATCATTAATTTTGTATAATGATTATGCACAATTATTAAATATGTGAATGAAGAAGATAGAAAGCGTAAGGCAGGTTACAGCAATTCGAAGACTCCAAGGAATCATGTAACCGATTTATATAATAAAATGTATTTAATATTCGTTATTACTTTTTTTTACTATTGTTTTTAGTCTTTTATGACTTCTATCATTTTATTATAAGTTAATTAACTTTTTCATCCTAGGAATATCTTTTATGTGTACTAGGGTGGTCCTTAATATGAACATTTTGGAATTTCCTTGCTCCCAAGGGCACAAATAGTTCCAAATTGATAAAAAACAAATATCTGAAAGTTTTAGCTCTTAATATTACTTTTAGATAGAGCGCTATTCTATCAAACTTTGTATGGAAATAGCGTGGAAAAAATTTTGAAAATTAAAAAAATTTTTTTTTAGGTATAACTAGCGATAAATGAATTAAAAGTGAAAATTCGTGTCATAAAAATTCGACGCTCTGCAAAATTCTTAAAAATTTTTTCATGCTATTTCCATACAAAACTTTGAATTGCGCTCTATCTAAAAGACAATATTAAGAGTTAACATTTTCAGAGAATTTTGTTTTATCAATTTGGAACCATTTGAACCCTTGGGAGCAAGGAAATTCGAAAATGTGTATATTAAGGACCACTCTAATGTGTACCTTTTATTGCTTTTTTTACTGTTATCAAACTACTACGAATGCACTGTAGCAACACATTGAATCTTCCCATTTCTTGAACAAGAACAGTGTTCATGCTCTGCATGTAAGTTGTTGGAAATTTGAGCATGGTGAGATCTCGATCAAAATCGGGAGGAAGTTTGGATAAAATGTCACTTGATATTGTTAAAATCAACTCGTCGGATGACTGGCCGCCTTCTGAAGAAGAAGCGGACATGGTGTCCTGTAATGGATTGAATATTTTAATTAATTTCACTTGTTAAATATTTTTAGACAAATATTAAAAACATATATAGGCATTGATTGTTTATATATTTTTAACTACCATGTTAATATTGTTTCATTCATATAGCTACTAAACCCAACAGGTAATTATGGGAAACTCAGAATGCGAGTTAAAGCTTAGCCGATTTCTTAAATTTGGAGAGAACGATGCTAAAGCACAGATAGTTCATGGTAGTTATCACCCAGTAAATGAGGTTTTTTATCACTTTTTTGTCACAATATTATAATAATGTAATGTATAATTTGATGAACCTGTGTAAGAAGAATACTCGACAACATGAGATTAGTTTCTTGTTGATCTTTCATAATATCAGCGTTATCACCAAGGCCGAATACTGACGGTTTAGTGAGAAGTGGCAAATTTTTCGTATACATTATATACGCATCATATTCCTTCAGATTCGGCGCATAATATAATCCTGAAAAATAACATTAATAGTAGTATTAACATAAAAATATTTTTAAGAGTTGAAAATAAACTAGGTATAAATATTTCTGTATTTTTTCAATACATATGTAAATATGGTTTTTGCTATAACGATTCATAGTTTTGTTTACTAAGTTTATGAATATTATCATACATTTAGCTTTAACTTGGCATGTCAATATTAATTCTGTCGCACATCAGACCAATGTTATGGCAAGGCTATATTACGCTTTAACTTGCATACATTATGCTACTGGATCATATTGAATACTGTCAAAATATCATGTATTTGCTATGCATTCAAGTCTTCTGCCCATAAACTACAACGTCACTAGTATGTTATGAAGCTGGGTTAGAAAGACCCTGTTATCTAAGATCGTTTTTTTGACATTTGTGCGGTTTCTAGGTTAGGTTTTCTATCTGACAACTTGAGAAAAACACCACATGGCTTTTGTCAATATTTAGTCAATATGGAAAGTTCTTCATAAAATAACCTTGCCATAACATTGGTCTGTTGTGCGGCAGAATCGGATCAATTCTCTCTCAAATCTCAACTCAATTATATCCCATATGTTTAAATGAACTTGAAATTGTATCTATGATTGACTTTTGCTTTATTCATTGAAGTCATTTACCTGAATCATCAAACTTGTATGTATCAGTTTCAACTAGTTCAGGGCAGTAGAATTTGTTGAGCACTGTTATTAAGCATCTTCTGTCCCAATCGTCAGTTACACGACCTCCGTAGTTGCATTCTCCAGTTAAATATCTTAAGGCTTCATATTGCACATCCTATCAAAAACAGTTTATCATTGTAATAAATATTTACAGCAAAAAATCAGATTCTGAAAATGTTGCTTAAATTTTACTTTTTCAATTCTTCAATGCATATTGAAAAGATTTTTTTTAATTGATATGTTTATCTGGTATTGCCAAGATGCAACAATGTAGACTGTAGAGTAATTATTGTATATATTATCATGGTCGTAAATTTTATTATTCCAGTTATTGATGAAGTTACTTATCAGTAAAAGAACAAAATAATATTTTTTAATGTACTTGTTACAAAACAAATAAAAATGTTGCCTGTGCATTCTGTGATAGTACTGAACATTTCTTAATAAATGCGGGGCACTCTTATAAGCTATATTTAAGCACCGAGAACTATTCGTGTATAGTAAATATAAATTAGTAAGCAATATTATATTTTATTACTAGTAAGCAATAATAATTAGCATTAATAATATTTTATCAAAAAACGTTCGACTGATGTTGATAAGGAGACGTGCTGATTAGTTTTTGGCACAGGCAGGTATAGCCGTTTCGAAGATACGGGGCAAAAAGTGCTAAAAACGGTAACTCAGTTTTTAAGAGAACGGAGCTTTCGATTTTAATAATTCAAAAAACATTTTACTTGTATTGACAAAACAAAGAACTGATTACGACTGCACATTATGAATCAACAAATAGTGAACAAATATTCGAATTTATAATAAAAATATAATAGGGATTAACTCTCCATAGGGTTATTATTTTTTTTTTAAATATTTGTCAAATTTTTTTTCGCTAGTTGAAATCAAGTCTTAGAGCGTGCAAATAACGTAATAATAGTAATAAAAAACTAGTTGAGTCATTTGTCAAACAGATTAAGCGAAAGAAGAAATCAATTCATTTATTGAATCGATTGCTAAATTAGTCCAATGGTTTAGCAAAAGAATGGAGAAAATCTGGTAAGAACCTAATAAGAGTCTGGTAATTATAAATCTTAAAAAAACTATTAATGATTGTATAGATAGACGATATATGTAGAATACATATTAATCAACAAAAAAATTTAAGGGCCATAAACAATTTTTGATACGACGTTGGTACCCTGATCGGTATGAATATATTTCACAATTATTGATTTTATTTTTCTGATTTAAAAGATATCCTATATGCTCAAAACGTACAAAATATTTATGAATAAAAAATGAAATTAGTAGTAATTTTGAGAAAAAAGGAAGCTTTTGGTTCAGAAAAATGAATTAATATATAAATTTATTTACGTTGTATTGATTCAAGAACATCTGCAGCTGAAGAACAGATATACGAAGATCTGTTTCGTTGAACTCGTAAGGTATATTCCAACCTATCGGTCCAAATTTTCGCCTTTCCTGAACGAGAGCGTGGAAAAAGCAAAGCGCGTAAAGCATTTTCTTGAATGTTTCTGATTGTTTGCAACTCTCAAAGAATTCCGGATCCGAAATCGGATCACTCAAATATGATCGTACAATGTTAGCACGTAAACCTGAATGATAATTAGATCAATAAAGAATATCTATAAAAAAACGTATATGTAATTTTCAACTCAAACATATTAACTCCTTCCTTAAATAAAATAATTTGTATACGACTAATTGGCCATATTCATTATTCGTATAACAGTTGATATCTGATATTATAATTACCATTAATATTTAATGTCTGGCTTTAAATTTGCAAAATTATGGCAAATAGAGTTCGCATAAGCAAACAGAGAGATGATTCGACAGTCAAGTTACAAAATTTTGTTTGCAACCCCTGAGTATTGAAGTTAATCTGCTATCTTTTAATAAAATAAGCTATACTACTACAACCATATTACTGCTCCTATACTTTTAGTTATAGTAATTATATTAATACATTCTCTCAATAATCATTAAGTTCTAAATCAATTTGAGACTAGGTGTAGTAGCTAATTACATTCAATCTTTCAATATTTTAAGCGTAGAACCAATTAAGATTAAATCTTTCAATTTTTTATGTTATTAATCAATTTAAGGCTTTACCTTTAGGTGGTTCATTAGTCATTTTTACACCATTTTGCAAAACGCTCACAGGAAAGTGATCACATGGATAGGAAGTCAGCCACAAACGGAAATCTGGATGTGTTGTTTCTGGTGCCAGATTTTCACAAATCTAAATGAAAATAATAGTTTTTAACTAATAGTACCAGAAATCTTTCAAATATTTTTTTAATACTATTTTATATGTATAAATTGTACATATTTGCATTTTCTGGGTGTTGAAAGTTTGCCTGCATAACTATCAAATTACATAGTTTGTTCGAAGACAATATACTTAATATACCAGACGGATAGATGATTATATAAACATACATTTCAAGATTATCATTTGATGATTCCTTCTTTAAAGAAAATTGTGTTCACCGCTTATCAAAATCTAAGATCGATTTATATAAATCTATTGACTAAATCGAACCATGACCCAACGATGTAATGATGCTTTGATTCTTTATCAGTATACCTTAATATATCCAATTATTCAATTTTACAAGTGCTATTGCCATTATTTATAAGTACAATTGCCATTAGGTATACATGCAATATGAAACATTGAAGTTTCAGATCAGTATCGATTTTAAATCGTATATAAGTATACGATGATATATTCAATAATCGTAATTATAATCGACACAATACGGAAACAATACGATATTTTTAAAAGCATGCACTTACACTATATATGTATATAGTATGTATATATATATATATATATATATATATATACATACATTAATTCATACATATACCTTTTCCAATGTCTTCATCCAGCTCTTTGCCAAATGGCAATTCTGTAAAACAACCCATGTGCCATTGCGAACACCATCATCAAGTAATCGGGTTGCTATAGGACCTTGCCCTTGGCCCAATGATAATGAAAACAACCTATTAGCACCAAAACCCTAAAATAAAAAATACATTTCTCTGCTTAATTTAAAAAGAAACTAGCTGTAAGTGGAATTCTGTCTTAAGGCAATTAAGGCATCGTGCCTTAAGGCAAATTGCTGGAACTTCCCGTACCAAAAATTATTATTTTTTTAAAAACGATTGACATTTTTAAAACAAATTTACTTCAAAAAAATAAGATTTTTGAGAAACTATAAATTAAACAAAAAATTACTTTTTTTTGAAAAAAATTTTTTTTCAAAAAAAAATCTATTTTTTTTTTTTTTTTTTTAATTTTTTTTGGAAAAAATAATGTTTTCTTTATTTTGGCATATTTTGGAAGATCTTTTTTCAAAGCAATCGTACTGCTTTAACTGTATAAAGACAAAATGTCAAAGCGCGTAAGCGCCGCGTCGCCGTCTAACGAATAAATATTGGTACGGAACCCATAGGAATGCAAACAAAATTTATACTTATTGTTAAAATCTCTATAAAATATCTGATAATTTTTTGTGCATATGTCTAATGATCATTTTTGACCGCCAAATGGCATTTTTTTTACTTTTTTTGTTAGATCTCCGAAACCGCTAGACCTGCCTTTATGAAAATTTGATCAATTCTTCATCTTGTCAATACAAGTCAAATGTTTTTTGAATTATTAAAATCGGACGCTCCGTTCTCTTAAAAACTGAGTTACCGTTTTCGGCACTTTTTGCCCCGTATCTTTAGAACGGCTGGACTTGCCTTTGCCAAAAACTAATCAGAACGTCTCCTTATCAATACGAATCGAATGTTTTTTGAATTATTAAAATCGGTTGATCCGTGTTACCGAAATCGTCGACGAAAATTTGTATCCGCACATACATACACACACATACATACATACACACACACACACACACACATACACACACACACACACACACATACATCCATTTTTTCTAAGGTATGCCAAAATGTTAAGAAACCTCTGAAACGTAAAGATATATAAAAATTTTCATTTTCGATTTTTTTGCGATTACTATAACTTACCCTACGGGAAGTTAATAAGTACTAATTTGGTACAAGCAGCATGCTGTAAACATCTATTGACAGATATAAATTTTTATTTATATCATATTGCAATTATAGATGCTATTATGCTAAGACCAAAAATCTTGATTTTCCTACATTTCATTCTTGTTTATTTGCCACATTTTTGCGATATTTTATTTTTAGTGTTTTGTGATTTACACCATGCTGATGGTTAACGTAATTACTTCGGCAGTATTAAGGACATAAATTAAATTTTGCTATTAAAGATGAAAACATGTTACCATTTCTATACAGGTTATTTTTGAGTTAATATGGTCTTGTGGCCCGCACAAGTTAATAGTATTTAAAAATTATTATAAGCATAATATGAACACTTGAAATTATTTGAAGATTTAAAAAGTTTAACTGCAAATTAGTAAGTTTCTTAAAAACATTCTTATGTGAAATATATTCATCTTAGTACATAATATTTTATACATCTTTAAAAAATTTAAAGTTCTAAATAATTTTGTACCTTAGTTTTCCTAATATGCATAATATCATTAAAATATTATAAATTATATTAAGTATTATACTTGATCATCCGCAAATTTCAACAAAGTGGCTGTAGGATCCGCTCCTGGTGTCAGAACAAAAATCAAAGGTATGCAACAATGTGAGTCGGTAAAGGCAGAAGCTAAATCGAATGGTGGTGGTTCTACGAATTCCTTTCCTAAATTGTCTGTAAAAATGTTATATTACACTAATGTTTATTATTTAAGTATATTTTGTTATCATATTAATTTTGTTTTGACTATATCGTCCACACGTGTTTCTTACGTATCATTCAATGCCAAATATTTTATTGCCTTTAGTATCAGTTGCAATAAACTCTCCACAAAAAAAAAACTACTCAGTATGCAGAATATATCGGAAATTTACTTACAAAATGTTAAACTGTTGAAATAAGTATAAGTGTGTAAAACTTAAATTTAAATGTTATTGATTGAAAATATTTCATAAAATTATCATATTCGAATTACCGATACTAATATTACATAATAATTGTTAACCACACAGATACCTAATATAAAAATATAATTTAATGTATGTGAATATATATTATATATATATATATATATATATATATATATATTATATTCTCGTATATATATAGTTTGAAAAAAAAGGCAAGTTTTTTAAGGTAAGTATAAAACATTCTGTTTCACACGAATGGACTATATACTTCTAGTAACTTTTACTTATAATATTAATACTTTTGTTTATGATTTACTCATACTGTGTTACAACTTTTATTAACATAATATGGTAGTGCCTAGAATAATCATAATGTTGTAATTAAATTTGTTCGATATTTTACTTTATGTAACGCCATCATATATAGAAAAATGATGAATTGGAAATTTCTGGAAAATGAAAAAGGGGTATAAAATATTAAAATAAAGTTATTGACTTATAATTTTGATTTATCACATTTTGTTTTATGACAGTATATATGACAAAGGTATAAAATACGTCAAAAGTTAATCAATGTACATAGGCCATGTAAATTGCATGATGGCGCAGAAGTCAATAATCGACAAAAAAACAGGTAGAATAGTAATTAATTTCTTTCCAATACTAACACATACATATGTCTAAATAGGTGTGTTTCACCTGATACATAAGATTGAACAGCAGGCACCAATTTATCAGGGCGAATAACTCTCAAAATAAGTAATTTCTGGAACTTCGTACTTGACTCGTTATACGGTGAAGGCATGTCTGCAGATTGTGGTGTTGGTCCATCAAAAAACTCTTGCCATCCAGCAGTATTAGTTTCGAAATGCTTCTTTATTCCTTTGAAGTTTCCGTAGTCATTCAAACTAGTAAAATAGTCATTAGTAATTGTGATTTGTATGAGAACAATAAATGAATGCTGATCTTATGCTACTGACTGTTTGTAATATTACTGAATTTTATTTCCACCCATTAACAATATTTTTTTAATATTTTATTTTACTAAGGTTTATTACTCAATTTTATAATACAGTAATTTCATAAAAAAAATCTATTATTTCTTACCGACATAACTCATCCCAAGATTTTGCTGGGAGCCAAGCAGCAGGGTTAGGATGTGGATTATCAAGACCAACGCCTCCTGTGAGTAAAAACATCCATTCAGCAATATCAATATGTCCTTTGTTTTTCAATAAATTAACACATAAAAGTAGAGAAAATAACAATTTATCCTGGAAATATAAATGAAGCATTATTATAGTCCTGACACGAATTATTATAATAATTTGCACCAATACCTTTTCAAACAAGCTTCTGCAAATATTACAATACAATGAGTATGTAAAATACTTTGTCAATATTTTTAGTCTTGTCGGCACATCGTCATCTTGTTCCGTATTTTCTATTGCAGAACCATATAAATTAACAAACCACGCCAAAGAATATTGATACATAGGATCAATGTTTGTTAAATCAGCTGTAAATGGAAAGTTTATAACAAATATTGAATTCCAAGTTATATTAATAATAAATTATATGATTAATACTCATTGTTTTAGATGTTTTATCTCGGTTTTGTCATAAAAATGTATAGGTGTATTTCAACTAATCAGTATTAAAATTGGATGATTACAGATATGGTAAAGAATAAGTGAACTGAAAAATAAAGTTAACGCTTTTGGCAAACGTTGCTTTTAAAAATGTTCAAAATTTTTGACATAGCCTAAATATAATTAATTTTACATCAACAAAATGGCTATGAGATGAATGGATATCAGAATCATATTATTACTGATAAATAAACCCTTTAGGTACCAAAATTCACGAAAATCTATAATACCATCTTAAAATTTTGTGCAAAATATGGTTTGAACATCCTTCTTCCCACAAACGTGCATATTAATGAGAAGACAAGCTTTTTTTGCAATAAACATCAAAACACATATTATGAAAAAGCATATAATAAAATAATATTAATCTCGATGTTGTTTTTAAAAAATTGTTAAAATTATTATAGCTAAACTAAATTATAATTTATGGACGTCCAATTCTATAAAATGATTATCGTGATATTATTGCCGTTTTTTGTTAGGAATAAAAGTTTTTCAAAGTTTCATTCTCATATAATTTTAATATTTTTGCTTCACTTCTTCAACAAATTAGGTTAACCAAAAGCCTTATATTTTTACAAATTTCACAATCTTCAAGAATCTTATCTTTTATAACCCAAATCAAAATGCACATTTTGTTTTTATAAATAAACATATACGAAATTTTGATAAATTAAAAAAAAAATTATTCGTGATTGGATTGACCTATAGTGAAGAACAGTACAGTGACATGCTCGGCAATGGAGGTATATGCAAGACGAGCCGTATCGATTTGCTTTTCTGTAATTTCAGCTGCAGCTTGTTTAACAGCAATTTCATCTGACAACTGTTTTGAAGAACTTAAAATCTGAACAGCAGTTTCATCTTCAAGAATATTCCCTTCAGATGACAGCACCATCAAAATTTTATCTTCTATTTCTTTTAACATTCTGAAATAAATTAATAGTAATTTATGTAATATATATTATTTTGTACCTGAGAGCAAAATACTACATTCGATATAAATAAGAAATGGTATTATACCTTTTATTATCGGCACCTTGAACAATAAGCTGATTTTTTTCTGCTTCCAAGTCGGGCCGTTCCTTTGCCACAGTTATACCGAGAAGCTGGTCTTCAAGACCATCTACAGTTATCATAAAATTCAGTAATGTTACCTTAACAGCCACTTCTGGTAGATAGTGAGGATTTCGCAATTTAGTTGTTATATAAAATCTGAAATACATAGTTATAAATATTAGTTCATGACTAAGTAATTGAAAGAACTGCATTTTCCAAATACGGAATATATATGACGAATATATTGATTTATGCATTGTTTTAAAATCAAATCAAAAATTGTTATTTTTTTAATTATTTTTATAACCTGCTATATGTACCTGAAATCCAAATTATATTCAACAACGTTATCGCCTAGTTTAATACATAAAGCACCACCTTGTTTAAATGTTTGTTGTTGCAATAAAGGCTCTAGGACTGGATCTAATTCTTCGCCAACATTCTCTAACAAAACCTGCAATAAAATATGTTTATATATAAATCTGCTAATTATATTGTTATTGACTGCTTAATTAAAATAATCACAATTTTGGTTAACCAACAGTTAAAGTTGACAAGAGCCTGAAATAATATCTACCATTATTCATTACGGCTTGCTTATAATAAATAAATAAATAAATAAATAAATAAATAAATAAATAAATAAATAAATAAAATGAGTTCAATTCTATATTTTTAACCTATATGATTTTTTTTGCTTTGGTAATAAAATATGGCAAACATACTGCTTATAATATATCAGCATATATATAATTATATTTATTTATATGCCAAAGCATTTCTTATACATTAATTTCTTATACATTAAATCACATGTTGGAAAAAATTACTTTTTAGACCTATAGTGAAATTTATATTGATGTTTCATGATAACATACCGGTTGCCCAAATTGAATGCTGTTTTCAAGAATGCGAACATAATCGCCCTGTGTCAATCTAATAACGCTCAAATGGTTTATTCGTTCCATGTTTTTAATCCACTTATTGGCTTGGGTTTGGGGATCAATCATTAATGGCCATCTTCGAGCATTTCTACAAAAATAATTATAAATATGTTTACATATCATAAAACCAGCTGCATTAAAATTAGGTGTAAATTAAAAAAAATGAATTGTTTCTCAAATTAAAGTACTTGGTAAATTTTGATTGTATTGTGCAGTCTCAAAATCGAGCACAATAACTCATGTCAATAAAAATAGACAATAGTCATTGTCAATAGAATTGTTATCTATGAGTAGTTTTTCCTTTTACCATTTTGATTCATTCAAGTCGTCAAATTTTTTTTTCACACGTTTATCATATTTAAAGAAACACAATATTCCATATACTTACTGCATTATAATGCCATTTTCCACCGAGAATGAATCGCTGGGCAGACCATGAATGATCCAACTTCTAATATCTACTGGCTCTCCCAAAACCGGTGCCAATTGAAAATCATCAGAGCAAATGACTCTCAGAGTTTTGCAAACTTTATTCCAAGCAACGATTTGCTTAGAACGAAATAATGTCGTGAAAGGTCCAAGATATGCAACGACACCCGAGCCAATGAGAATATCACCTATATAATAAATTTGTTATTTCTATTATTCGTAGATTCTATAAATCTTTGAAGTTATTAAAATATTTTTAGGCAAGACAGATATTATAGCTGATCAAAGAATGAGATTATATATCGGCAACGAAAAAGTAGAAAAATACAAGCAGTCAATAAATGTATGTTAATTTTAATTACATGAAGTTCTTCAAACATAATTACTTGATGAGTGAAGTTGCAACAATATTTGTTTAGGCGTTGTTTAACATAATCCACTGTGTAAACGAATATTATAGAATTTATTAATTAGCAATTACCTCATTCCTCTAATGAAGATTCATTTCTAAATGCTAATTACAATGACAAACCGATTATGTCATATTTGAAGTATAATTTTAATTTCATTATTGTTTTTAAATATTTTACATATTTTTAATGCTATTATAAATATATAATTTGTAATTTATTATTATATAAATGTGTATAATGGTTGACGTCAATAAAGATGTTCATCACGAGTGTTACCATATTACTAATAAACATTATTCAAAATTGTTATATGATGTATTTATTTTCACTTAAATGCCATCTTGTACAGTAGCAAATAAGTTTTACTTCAATCTCTAATGTTTGTGCAATAATAAGTATAATTTATTTACAAACCAGTTAATGTATAGTATAATTCTCCCATGCGATCCGCTGTTAGTCTCCATCTAGTTTTCTCGCCACCTAATCCACCAATCAGTTCTTCAGCTCGACGAAGTTTCAAGGCGCACAATTCTGCCTCATCATTTAATATATTAAATATTGTTTTCTGTTTGTCGAGTTCTTTAGTTAATTTTGCAATCTGCAATAAACGATAATAAAATATAAATAGATAATTATAGGTATAATAACAGTATTGACAATTGAACAATCATAAAACTTTTTCTTACAATTAGACAAAATCAATCTACTATTTAATGTAGAATATTTAATATAAATATAATTTGAAAACATCATAGAAAAATATGATCTAAACAAAAAATCCAATAACTAGGTGTAAGTTTTTTTTTCCCCTAGGACAAGTAGCATAAACTTCTCGACATAGTGCAAAAAACACTTATAAGAAATCTATAAAAAATAGTAGTATTCAAATTAAAAAATTGATTTAAAATCTTGACTAATTAGACTCAAAAAGGGATTTTTTTTTCGAATGTGATTGATTTTTTTAAAATTCTATATGTTTAGTGTTCTCTTTTAGTTTGCAAGAAAAATTGAACATGTTGGCATATAAATGTAGAAAATATTAAAATATTTTTGTGTAAACCACTTTCGTGAGCCAAAAAAAATTTAATGTTGTGAAAAATAATTGTAATTGATAAATTGACCTTTTCTTGCACATCCCTCAACATCTGTCTCTTGATTTCCAAAGCTGCCATGGCAGTATTGTACTCTGCTTCAGCTTTAGCTAAGGCCAATTTCTTCGGAGCAACAATTTTGGCGACCACATCATATTTGGAAATAGCTATGATCCATTTGCATAAACCTTCACAAGCAGTCGATGCAGTCTTCACTTTCTCTGGATCGAACTCTTCATTGTGTAACATACGATCGTGTAACTTCTTCATAATAGCTGGAGGTATATTATCCTTATCAAACAATAGTAAACCTTCCAAAAATTTCATGTCTCCTAGTAACCTTTTGGATGGACCCCAATAATCTTCTACGGTACCTCCCATGCCGCCTGGTGCTGGTATTTTTTCGGGCTTTATATCCTAAATATTAAAATAAAAAATTATTGATAATATTGAAGCACAAAAATAAATTAATTTAAGTATTAATGTTAGCAAGTGAATAGAAATAGTAAATAACACATATGATGTATTTACTTCAAATGAGTATTTCTACGGAGAAGAATAATATCATATCAGAAAAAAATCTACATATGGTTTGCCTCTTAAAACATTTAAGTGTTTCAAGTACAGGTAAGTATGAGAGACTCCCAAAATATGAGTAAAAAAATTTTTTTTTGATTATTTTTTAAATAAATAATATTTATAAAACGCGATGTGGATCATAATGCAATAGTAATATTAATCACTCATATTCTAAAGAGTAGAACTTATAAATATATATTAATAATAATAAAAATAAAGTAAGTTTGCAACTATTATTTTGGCTTGCTGTTTCGTACTGCAGCGTCACTACTGCGGCAAACTGTCATAGCAAAAGAGTTAATAAAATAGTTTAATTAGATGTGTGAATTAATTGTTAAAAAATAATCTATATAATTGGTGAAATACGATGCAAGAAATATGAAATATTACTTTTAAAATACAAACAGCTTCCATGACAAGCTTGACGCCCTTTGGCGGATTTTTCATGGTCTTTACAATTGTAATATCAGCCGGTGTTAAAGTGTTAAGGGCAGCTAAGGCCGCATCTAGAATAGGCATAGCTTCTGCTAAATTTGCATCGCACTCATCTTTGATCAGTTGAGCTGCTTCAGCCTATAAATATTATATCAAAATATTATAAACTTGTTATTAATTTCATACTATTAAACTTCTAATAACAATTTTAATTTACCTGTTCGTTTGCAACCATTTCATCAGCCGCAACAATTTTAGCTACTTCCTCAGCCTCGGCGCTTTCATGTTCAACCTAATGCAATTATTTTGAAATAAATATTATATTGAATTATTATTTTGAAATATAATAAATAAGTATTAAATCCGTTTTACGGAATAAAATATTAATATAAATATAATGATAAATTAAATGCCTTATATGCTCAAAGTTTATGTCAATCATAAGCACCAAGTCTGACGAAACTACTTATGCATCAACGTGAAATAATTATTTTGGTACAATTATCATATTGATTGTAAATATTGTGTACTTTCTTTATTTATTAGTGTATTTAAAATATTAAAATAACGATTAAATTTTTACTGCACAAAAGTACTAGTATTAAAAATATAAAAAATGCAAAAAGTCAACCTTAGCAAAATACCAATAGAATAATTCAGAATAAATAAAATAATAATATATAAAAAATATTCATATACTTTAAAATCGCCTAAATGTGAATTTGTTATTACGAGTCATTTTGAACCAAGAAAGAAAGATATATATCAACAAAAACTTTATATAAAACTTACATGGTTTCTCTTTGTATTTTTTTTTAAATTTAAATGATCACTATTTACAAATAGTTTACTAATTGATTCTGTTCGTTTATTATAACATTACTAAATAGTCGTAGATGATTAAATTGATCTAATGTTACTGCAATACAGTGAAAAATTAAGATAGAGGCTGTGCAAACTTTGTTATTTTTCCCATTTATTTGTGCATAGTATATTAAAACTATTTTTGATCATTTATTAAAAACACCGCGAACTATGATGTAACAAAAGCTGTTTTGATTTGTGCCAAATTGTCGATATATCTGAAGATAACTAAAAAAAACTGCGAATAGCAGTAACAAAAATTTACAAATATTAAATTTTATCATTTTACTATAATTAGCAACTAATGCTGCAATGTTTTGTATAATAATTAAAGTTAAATATTGCAACATACCAAAAAAATTTGGTTAAATTATTTGAAAGCGGTTTATATTATATATTGTTTTACACTTCAAGGATTTATTACATTATCATTAAATGGTATTTTGCTGGTTTCTACCTTTGCTACAATAACTTGCACATTGGCTGCGGCTTCTATCAGTTGAGGTTGTAGAGCTTCTAAATTTTCTTGCATGACTCCTACCTGACCAGCTGCTGAATCCAGTTGCATAAGACCTGTCTCATAACGATTTTTTGCAGTTGTTATCTCATTTCTTTTTCGAGCCAGCAACGTTTTAAAAGTATTAATCATTTCCAAATATGAAGTTGGCGTTACATAATTATGCCTGTTCAATCGGCTTAAAAATTCTGCAGATAATATTTCTGTAGATGTGTGAAAAGTTTGACACATTTCGATCGCTGCATTTCTTTCCAAATCAGTAAGTTCAACTGTGGATAAAAAACGCTTTGCTACAGCCTCCAAAGCATCTTGCGGCCATGGCTAGAATAAAAAAATATTATGAAACATAAACTATATATAATAACAACAATATTCATATAGTAATAATTTGACAGACATTCGATACAATAACTCTTAAGCATAAATAAATTTAGGTGCTTTAGGTAGTTTAAATATTAATAGTGCTAATAGTAATCCTAGGTTTTAGGAATGTCTAACATAAATATGCTAGTATTATAAAACACACACAACGCACAATAAAAGTTGATTATACTAATTAATTTTCCCCAGCTAAATGTAGATTCGACATACCATCGTTGAAAATGTTATACTAAATTGAACAGAACTTTAACAAATTAGTGAACATAATGAGCTCATAACGTGCATTTTTGTTTATTGTCGATAGAGAGCTTTCAATACCAAATTATCAATTACTGAAAAACGTGAACTATACATATTATTTCAACTAAATTATAATTATGTATGAACGAATGAATAGAGATACCTGAAACCAATCGATTGTACAGCAGTTAATAATAGCCGGAAACTTTCTCATTCGATTTCGAAAACTGTCACCGATGGGACTCATGCATACCACAATGTGCAGTTGTTCCCTTACAATAGTTACAAATAAATTGAAAAGAGCCACCGGGCTACCATCGGTTTGTACCGACTTATCTCTTTGTCTATCGATTTGCCGCATCTTCTCGCAAATATCTATTTTATCTTCTGTTGCAAACAGATTCGGAATTTCTCCTGAGTTTAATAAATTACTAATATCCTCTAAAAAGCTTTCTTCTTTAATTTGGGTATCAGTAAATAAAAACACACAATGCTGATCTGATGCACTGGCCTTTCTTAGTACTAGCTTCATATCGTCGTGCCACTCGACGACGCCATATTGCTTTGTAATTTCAACCTAAAACATTAATGTATAATGGTAATGCTAATTTTTATTGAAATATTAATAAAAAATATATTATTATTAGAAGTACTAAATTCGATTCACCTGAGATAATTCATAATCAGTTATATGAGCAGCTAATCTCGATAGCGACTGCCGACCAGATCCACCGACACCGACGCTTAAACCATGACTTCTAGGTTGCTTTAGTACACGACAAGATCTTGATAAATGTTCAATAGCAAATGTGAACAGAACTAAATTCATAGGTTTTTTGGTCATGCTGTTATATTCCGCTAGATAACCTTCCACGACCTCCGTTAGTGCTTCAGGATCTTCTACTTCTAAATATAATCTACGATCAGCAAAAGGATTTGTGAAATCACAATACATCACTTGACGTAAGTCATTTTCGTTAACTTCTTGTCCTGGTAATTTGCCTATTTTAGGAAACATTTCGGCCAAATCTTCTAAGAGTATTTCGGAGCATACATTGTTTATTTTTTTACAAAGCCATCCTCTATCTCCATCATCAATCAGTCGATCACAATACACTCTCAATATTTCATGAACCCAAAGCTTTTTCATTGATAATATATCAGGACAACTAGCTGGAACGGAGAGTAAAACACCTTGTATTACCCTAGAAAAATCTCGTAGGTTGAATAAGTAATGCGATTTAGCAGGCGTGGGAAGTAAGTTTAGACGACTCTCTTTATAAATAATAAGCGTAGCCTCGACTATTTGAGAAATAATGTAATCAAAATCTTTCTCAAAACCCATGACATCAATATGCCACTGCATGATCTTAGTATAAATTGCTGTCATTATTGAGTCCGTAAACTCACTGATGGCTATAGTATTGAAGTGGCGCAAAAATCGTTCCGTGACGGTGTTACCAGTCAAACCCATTCCGCAAATAAACTGCAAATACACAATTACAAATTAACAATTATAAAAATAGATATTAATTTTCTTCGCCAATTTACTTGAATATCTATTATTTTCATTGCGACGACTTCTTTCCTGTCGTACCAGATTTCGTGATCAAACCACATTCGCAACAGTTCTATGGGAGGCTGAGCACCATATGTTTCCTTAATTGGCATCTGAACGTCATCGACAAATATCACGCACTTTTTTGTTGGTGGTGGACCGTAAACACCTGTACAAGAAGATAAATATTAATTAATATACTCTATATTAACAACATTTTCAATAAAGATCTGCAAATTTTAGTAATATTTTTAGCTGAGGGACTTAGTCACTGTAGTACGAAATGCCTTTCCTCTCATGATTGGAAAAATAGTCTCATGATTCACCAACAGATAGATAAAGCGGCTAGATAAAGAAGATAAAATGTTATCATACGTCCGAAAGTCAACTAGTAGAATGTCCAAAACACAATGAAAACCAAAAATAAAATGTTTGCAAAAATAATACTAAATAAACTACGTCACAAGAAGACGCGTATCATATAAATAAGTTTTGAAATATATTCAGCAAAACTCCTAGTTAATTAACCATTATAGAAATATTTATTTATTATGTTTATTTATTATTAATTATGTTTATTTTTATTATTTATCTAAAATCTATCATCTGGCTCTTATAACCCCATGGACGGGGTAAAAAGGGATAACCAGGGAGAAAAAAGCCCACTATACTTTTTTTATAATTTTGAAAATATTTTGCGGATTAATAGATGCATTATTATTAATCAATGATATTCAGTTCAATTATTAGGTTAAAGTAAAAATAATGAATAAAAAAAATAAAATTATATTCAGGGATCAACGAGCAACAGGGCTCAAACCAAAAACAGAATAAAATACTTTTGTTATTTTTGACAATGTGGCCATCCATTTCGTGATAGCAACGTCGCACGATACAATGCGATAATTGGTTTTATATTTTTTACCATATACTTTAAAATAGTATTGTTAGAAAAATACCATACTTCACTTGTTTCTGAGATAACGGTGGTGAACCTTTTTACCTATGGATCTTTAAGCCCCCGTATGCCATTATTTAATTATACAATATAATTTTATCAAATTTAATATTCATATTACTCAGAACAGTTAAAAGTATATATCAGAATCAAGATTATTACCTTTTCGTCTTTTGTCCAGCTTACTCATAATTATATCTTGAGTTTGATTAGCCGAAGTTTGAGCAGAAAAGTTTATAAAGAGAGGTTTATACTTCACAGTATCATTCTTCTTCAGCAAGAAATCCTAAAAGACATAAAAATTCAGTACAAAAGTCATTAAAAAAAAATTATTGCTAAAGTCACTTACGATAGTATATACAGATTTTCCTGTGCCAGTGGGTCCAACAAAAAGTAGTGCTTTCTGGTGCTGAACTAACAATGTGAGAAGAGCAACTGTTCTTATGGTATCTACAGTCGCAACAAGAATCTGGTTAACTGGTATATCACGTGGAATGGGTGGTGCATATTGCAATTCATCTGACCAAGGTTTCCATTTACCCTTGCCCTGTTTAAAATAGATATTTAGTATTTATTCTGATGAACTGCATATTATTCAAACATTATACATTTCTATAATAATCTATAATTTAATAAACTATTAATTACTTGATTAATTTTTGAACAACATATTTTCTAGCTTCTAGTTTATGTGATTGTTATGAATAAAAAGTAAAACGATTGTATATATTTATGCATAAATATCATGTTTATATACAATACATCCATATTCATGAGACCCTTATTTCAAATCAAGGCACAAAAACGGTATTCATTTAGTAAGTAGTATAATAATATTTTCAATTAATATTTATAATTTATAATTTTTAATTTTATATAAATTCAAATGTCTTTACAAAATTGTTATTGAAACTATTAAACAATTGAGTAAAATAAATAAATTTAATTGTTAACGACGTAAATATTGTATTAAAATAGTGGAAAGTAGGAGAAGCTCTTTGTAAAGCAGAACGCTACCTAAAAATAAACATGGTAACAATTAGAAAAAATACAGTAAATATTTAGTATAAATTTTGTAACAACCTATAATATGCATCTGAAAATAATATTGTAGTATAGCACATTAAGTTCACAATTAAAAAATATTCGTGAACTTATACGTATCATTATTTACTACCTTAAAGAAAAATTTATCAATATATGTTATAATAATTCAATAATAAGTGAACGATGCCCAAATGATTTCAGAATTATTAAATATTTAAAAACAATTTGATCATAATAATTAATTTAATCATAAATAAAATAAACCATAATAACAAAATAAACCATAATAACAAAATAATACAATAATGAAGTGTTTAGTGTTTATTACAACACTAATTGTGTTTTCTGACATAGTAATCTTATAATGTAGTATAAAGTCATTACTCTAATTGTTAAGACTAATAATAAGAGTAAAGACTTTATTAATAGACACTCGATTTAATTAAATTAATAATAATAATGTGAGTTATTATTTTCTAATAATTTTGTTTGAGAATCTATTGAAGATTTAAGAATATTACTTTAGATAAAAAATAGCACTAATAAATTAAAAAAATAGTTGAACAAACCTATCTATTATAAGTTTAAAAATAATCAAAAATGTTATATAAACTATTATTAAATACTAATATTAATAACTTGAAAATAGTACTAACCTCTTTTATATATCGATAATCGAAAACTGAATTATCTTTAGGTATCAAAAATATATAAGGTTTATGAGGAGGCGGTATTTCCATAAACATTCCCAAGTTTTTATATAATTCAGCTGGAAATTCTTTTTCCAAAAGACCACGAAATACTGTGGAAAACAGATTCCGGCCATCCGTATCCAACGGTCCACCTATTGACCAAATGCACGAGAAAAAGAAAACACCCTGAAATAATAAAAAAAATATATGAGTTTGGTGCAATAGAGGAACATTTTTATTTATTACCTCGAGTTGAGCACGAACATCGAGATCTGATATGTTCTCTAAATATTTTTCATCTCTGAAGTCATCCAAAAAGCAATCGAATAAATTCATTAACGATTTTGCCATGTTTGACTGTGAACACGCGGATACTTGCTGCAAATTAAGAGGAAATAATGTAAATAATTATGAATATTAATACAATATTATAATGTTCCAATACTTTCGCAAATCCTCTCTTAGTAATCCAGAACAACGGTTCACAAAATCTCATAAACATACTCAATAATTGCTTTTTATTTAAATCATGTAAAGCCGCAGGAAGCGTATTGAGCCATGAATACAACAAAGGTTCCCATCCTAAAGTAGTCGGTTCCATATAAATCATTCCACAACGGGATACCTAAAATTATATATTTTATGCAAATTATGTTTTAAGATAAAAAATAATATTATAATAACCGTTGCGGGTGAAGCAACATCTAAATCTCTTGGCTCAAAAACCAGATTTGTTGTTGGCGCCAACTGAATAATTTCGCCTGACATCAGACACAACTTTTTATTATCGTCCAACACTGTATTCATGTTTTCAATCCACACGGCATCAACAGGACCATCAAAAATAAGCCATTTTCTGTAGTAATATATAATGAATAAAAATTAAGACAAAAAGTAAGAATCATGTAGGAAAAGCTTAACACCAAGGAACTAAATAGTCACTTTTGGCACTTTAAGACAAAGCAATTCTAGAAAGTTACTCTTTTAAATATAGGATATCATAAATCCTATAGATGTATAGAGGCTTAACTAATTATTGAAAAAATTGGCATTGAAGTGTAATTTATGAATTTACCTAAACTTTCTGCTTAGCAAAAAGTTACATAATTTATTATCATTTCAATAGAAAATGAAATAGTAAATCTGCAATCTGAAATTATAATGAAAATTTTGAAGCACAACTTGCTTTCTTATTACATACTAATCTGTATTTATAAAAATATAGTTTTGAGATTATCATATAATTGAAGCAGTAATAATAAATTCTTCATATATTAAATAATATTAAATCAGAGCTTATATATTAATCATTTTCTTTACTGTAATTGATAGTTGCATTGTTACATTTATTTCACTTCACTATTATGTTCATCTAATAATCTTAACTTGTAAGTGGAAAAATAATTGTATTTTTTAAATAACTAATAATTTTATATATTATATTCAAATAATAATTTATAATAGAATAAGTGGCTAAACAATTACAAGATCGGCATGATTTGTAAGCAACACTTGAAGAAGATACCAATTACTCTTATTTTGCTAAACTTGAAAAGTATTTAATAACAAAAAAATATTATTAAAAAAAAGTTTGCATACCTATCAGGTGTGGTAGAATTAGCAAACTCTCGATAACTGACGGCCAATATACCATCAGACCATTCATGTGATACAGGATCAAATTGTCCATAAAGTTGACCCATGGTGATAGATTTAGGATTTATCACAGTATACACTGCGCGATGTTCGCCCATCTCACCCTATAATTCAATATTCAGTAATATCTCAATTTAATAAAATATTATACTAGTAAATTAAAATTTTGTTACCCTATCTTCAAGGTATCCTAGTGCGACTGCCAAAACTCTATATGCAGCTGTTTTGCCACCAAATGGTAAACCCACAATCATGAATCCGTGTCTTACTATGCTCATTTCATAAATCTGTTGAATCTAGAAAAAAATATTAATTATATTATAAAGAGTTAATATTTGTACTTATAAATTTTTAATAGAGCTTTTGCAAAAAATATTTTTATTCAATATATGAATGAATAACCGTATTATCTATATCTGTATCATATTTGTATAGTATCTATCCAATTTGTATAGATACTATATTATCTATATATTTAAAAACCAGCTTTAAATTTTTTTTTGTTTGATTAACTCTTGATCCAGAAAGAATCCACGTTATAACAAATAAAATATTTCAAAATGGTGAAATATTAAAAATTAAAATATATCTAAAACAGTACTTTTTCTAAGAAGAAATCAGTGCATTGCATGTTCATCGTCACGCAAGCATCCCCAACTGCTCTGTTAAAGGCAACGTAGTCCGGCTCTGGTAAAACTACGCCCGGGAACAAATCCGAAGTAATGCCCTAATGGTAATACTCATTTTAGAAAAAGATTATAATTCAGGATATTTATGTATATGGACTCATAGATTTCAAAATAAATATTACATCTGAAAATCTAGTAAATTTACTTACCATAAACAAAGGTATATCGTGGTTCAAGAATTTGGGTAAATTTACGTCTTTGATAGATCGTAGTACAATAATATCTTCTAGCTCATCTGGATAGCGTAGCTTTAACGTAGCTGCTGCTCTTAAAACTGATTTGACAGCTCGCATTCCTAGAAGTAATACATTTAATTAAAATAACTTCAAAATGTGTATTTTAAAGCAGTAAAAGATCCGTAACGTTAGTTACTACATAAAACATAAAAAAATGGAAACCACAGCAAAAAACATTTTCTTGAAAACAGTAATCGACTATTGTGCCAAAAAAATTGAGTTTATACTAATAACTTACCGTAATCGTAATGATGTTGTGATGACAACTGTTCTGAGCATAATTTATAAGTAGCCACAATTTTGATAGCTAACGGTTTTGCTGTTAAATATCCTGATGCATATAACTCAATTTCTGAAATCATTGCATAATCTGGCACCATCATAGCTACCGATCTGAACAACGCCTATAAATAAATATAATATTCAATCAATGATTCATAATATCTTCAATAATAAAATAACTAACTTATAATATAATATTGTAATAGTAATTGATCAGAACTTTAAGCCATTGTGATGATTTACTAACTACGTCGGTTTTTATACATGACAACCCAAACAGTTGTCCTACCTATATGTAATGAATTTTATTTTACAATTTCTGTAATAGTGATGAATTTGTATTGATGCAGCGAAGTCGAGTAAGGACTATTTTTAATCGGAAATTTATTGCTAACTATAATTCCAAATGAAAACTGCTTGAAATCTGGCTACTCGTGGACGGTATCGAATTTGGGAACTCTGATACAAATCTCATAGCTGTAATCACTTACCCATAGTATAAAACTATAATAGTTTTTTATATTATATATAATGAACTGTAAAAATAACTACTAGATGAATTATATTATATACAGTGTTATGTAAGTTTAGACAGTATATTTTTCTCGATAGTGATTTTATTCCTTTTCATTTTTGAAATCTACTTCACATTTAACCCACATAATCATTATGTAATAAGCTGAGAAAAAAATAAAAAAAAAACTAGTGAAAAGTTTAGAATAATTAAATTATTATTTTAAGGGGCACAACTAGTGTAACCGCCTAAAAAAAGGTGATTTTTGGGAAATTATATTAAAAAAAATACTTTATCAATCATTTCAAAATTTTAGGAATATATTTATACATGTTTTAAGAATACACTATACAATTTTTGAAGAAAAAATTAAATATTAAATTTAGTTATCGTCGATCTCCAACCGCGCGACAAAAAAAAGCCCTTCACTGCTGCAGTGATTCCGGCCTTCTACGTGAATGAAATTAAAAAAAAAATTCTCGTTAAACTAGATAATATTGTCTGTAAAATGAACTACGATAAAGAAAAAAAAAATAAAAAATTGACAAAATGACGGCGTTTTTTTAAAAAAAGTCGAATTTTACCCAAAACTTTGGTCGTTTTTGGACTGAGAACTATATATAGAACATGTAAAAAAATTGATAGTAATCGGATCATTTGTTTTTAAGTAATCGCTGCAGCAAATTCGGAAAATGCTGTTTCGAGAATAACGCGTTAAAAGATTAAATGATCGTTATACTATATACTATATATATATATAGTTTTTAAATGGCTGTAACTCAAAAACTATTTGATATATCGATTTAAAATTGTAGTATGTTATTTTTAATATATAACCTATCGAAAGGTATAACCTATCGAAATATGGAAAAATTGAAAATTCGATTTTTTGAAAATTTCACACTAGTTGTGCCCCTTAACATAAATAAAAGATGCAATTAACTATAGAAAAGTTAAAAAATGATAGTAAATTAATCGATAATAAATTTTAATTGAATATTGATAAGCACAATACAAATTTTATAGTTATACAAGCATGTCATGCACTTACTAAATATTTCACAACAAAAATTAGGAAATTTTATTTGAATGCCGTTTGCAAAAAAACATCAAAAATATTCTTAGTATTGCAGTACTATAAAAACAAAATAAAATATATTTTTTTTACCTTTAGATTATCAGGCAACTCACTACGTCCGGCATAACCTGGATTCATGGTAATAAATACGGCGCAAGTAGGATCAAGATTCAACAAAGTTCCTTCGAACATAAGTTTCTCAACACCTGCCATAATACCGCGCTGTATGGTTAAAATCTGTTGTGCCACCACAGACAATACTTCTAAATCAATTCGATTGAACTCATCGAAACATGACCAGGCTCCGCAAGAAGCCAAACCCTAGATTTAAATAATAATATTCAAAAAATTAACATAAATGATTTCAAACTATCGTCAAGAAGAGTGATGAAATTTTGGAAAAAAGAACTATATTCTTAACGTAATAATTATTTATTAGATATAAATATAATCAATAACTATTAATGAGATGCATGAGATACATTTCATTACAAAAAAAATATAATAACAAAAGCAGAGGTGCTCATAGAAACTGCAGAAAAATTGTAAATTGATTCTGCTAATGACTATAATGATATCCAAATATAATTTTGAGAATTTGAGAATTACAATAATATTTTATATTACATATGTATACCGTCACGTAGTTATAATTTATTAAAACTCTCCTTTGATAATTCAGGATGTTGGGTTACAATTTAACCCTTGTAGCTGTGAACACTGATTTGTTTTATATTTGTATGCATTTGTTGCAGTTCTTATTACAATCACTGATTTATCACTAAGTTATAATGAGGGAAGATATATTTATTTATTATTTATTACACATGTTATTTCGTGGACTTTACTTTTAGAAGTGGATAACTTGTCCCATTAAACTCTCCTCTATCCCCTCTTACCAGGAGTAGCAACCATCCCGTATAAAAGCTCAATGCCATGAAGATTGTCAACTTCATGGCCAATATAATAATATTAAAATACATCCGAACAACATAAATAATATAATTTTTTTCAATCCATTTTCTATCTTATTTATATTCAGTCATTTTACCTTAAAAAATTTTCCAAGGGCAATATAATCTAAACCGTCTGAACAGTTAAACACAACGCATTGCTTCGCAACGGCTTTTGCTAAATCTTTCGTGGTTTCAGTTTTACCCGTACCAGCCGGGCCTTCAGGAGCACCACCTAGCAAATAGTATCTTATGTAAGAAGAGTTGAAATTAAATTTGAATATTATTTAATACAAGTTATAAATACCCAAATGAAGATGTAAAGCACCAAACAATGTTCTGTAACATCGATCAGTCAGTGGTGTGATGACCAGACGACCAGTATTGCCTAAATACTCGTAGCCATATGGCAGCATGGAGTTTATCATTTTCGTGGTTAAATTGTTATCCTGTAAAAAAAATATTACTTTTATTATATTTTATTTAAGGTGCTAATTTAAAACGAATTACGCCTGACTGCGCGATCGCTCAATAATAATTTTTATAAATAGTTGTAAGAAAAACTAAAATAAATTTAATGCAATAAAGTAAATAATATTATAAATATAAAATAAAATCAATGCACAATGATACAAATTTTCAAATACTCAACATACTACTTTTTCTGTACCTTGACCAGTGAAACACAAAAATTGATATTTCAAACATAGATAATGCTAATCAAAAATGCGCATTTTTTATTATTCTAATACAATTTTGGTTCAAGGATCCACCCGGAATTAGCTATAATATTCGTGACTAATGTAAAAAAAACTACACCAATTGGGCTGGTAGACAAGCTGATAGAAATAAAATGAGAATTTTTTTTATTCTTGCTGTACTAATACTCACTGCCCAATAATATCGCATCTGAGCCAACCACTTGAAATCATCATCTCTAATGACTTTGAATTCGACCAACTCGGCTAAAACATCACGTGCATGCACATCCAACACAATTAAAGCAGCTGAAATAAAAGACGATCAACATTAAAAAATCTAGGAAACAAAATAAATTAACTAACGATCTCTTACATAACGTCTTCCTATTCTGTTCATTTAGTCTTCCTCTTACTAAGTCTACAATCTTAGATATTTGAAATTTACATTTATCCAGATATTCGCTTAGTGCATTGCCTCCGGCTTCAAAGCCTTGGTGAATTTCTAAGGTCCAATAGGTCATTGCAATTGCTTGCACCTTAGAAGAAAACATTGCAATCATGAAACTAGATTACTCATAATTTTCATATCAAATTGGATATTTCACATCAATTGATTCGGATATATTACACTTTATTTTCATTGCTATTAACACTTTGGCTACGGCAGAGTTTTCCGCAAGAGTGACACTGCTGTACGAGCATATTTACACAAAGATATATTTTAAGATTTTCCGAACATTATTAACAATTATATTTATATAAAAATTATACATCTTAAAAACTAAAATCCATAATAACAATTTAGAATTCTTAATATTTAACTCATAGTCGATATCTTTAAACAAAAGTCTGGATGTCGTCTATAGCCGACACTCGTACACATAGCTCATCAAATGTAACAGGAACAAATTCGCTAGTTCAAAAATTTATTTCTGATGATAAAAGAAAATGCACATATAGAAAATTTTACGTGCAAATAATGTTGTTAAGTAAATCATCGAGGAAGTTTAAAATTTATATCACGTTTAAGAATTATAAGATTGTATTGAACTATCATATTCTAATAACTGCTCTATACAATTATTCTATTTTATAGAAACAGTTTAAGGGTTTAAAAGACCTTAAATCTTTGGAGAAAATTAAGGACAAAGCTGATATGCAATAATACCGGTGGGTCAAAATGCGGAGATTTTAAATCTATTTTTTAATTCTAATTTAGATAAAAACAATATGGCACTTTCATTGTTTGTATGAAACCACCAGAAAAGAAACCCAATTTTTATTACTTTTAGTAATAGCTCCTGAATTATTATTAATATTATTAACTTCCCGCAGGGTAAGTTATAGTAATCGCAAAAAAACAAAAAATAAAAAATTTTATATATCTTTACGTTTCAAAACCTTCTGAACATTTTGGCATAACTTAGAAAAAATGGATGTATGTGTGTGTGTATGCGAATACAAACTTTCGTAGACGATTTCGGAAACACGGTTCAACCGATTTCACTTATTCAAAAAACATTCGATTGCTGTTGATAAGGAGACGTGCTGATTAGTTTTTGGCATAGGCAGGTCTAGCCGTTTCGACGATACTGGCAAAAAGTGCCACAAACGGTAACTCAGTTTATAAGAGAACGGAGCGTCCGATTTTAATAATTCAAAAAACATTTTACTTGTATTGACAAGTTGAAGAATTGGTCAGGCAGGTCTAGCGGTTTCGGAGATCTAACAAAAAAAGTAAAAAAAAAGCCATTTGACGGTCAAAAATGATCATTAGACATATGCACATCAAATTATCAGAATTTTGTAGAAATTTTAACAATAAGTATAAGTTTTGTTTACATTCCTATGGGTTCCGTACTAATGTTTATCCGTTAGACGGCGACGCGGCGCTTACGCGCTTCGATATTTTGTCTCTGTGCAGTTAAAGCAGTACGATTGCATTGAAAAAAAGTTCAGAATTTCCAAAATATTTCAAAATAAAGAAAACATTTATTTCAATGTTTTTTTTTTCAAAAAAAGACAATTTTTGTCAAAAATTTATAGTTTTTCAAAAATGTAATTTTTTCAACGTAAAATTTTTTCGAAAATTTTTGTCTGATCAATTCAACTCACACACTGTCCAGGCCACTGCAATACCCAGAAATGCCTCACTACCTCCGGGTAATTTTCGAAAGAGCCTTTCACCATAAAATGAACCGATTTTTTCATGTCTGTCTCTAATTCGACTAGCCATTTTTCGACAGCTCCTCGAGCTAAAGCCGTCTGTATAACATCTACTAATGGTACAACTTCGCCTTCACTCGACTTCATCGTTGTAACATCCATGTCTTCAGTGAATGATAGTCTGGCAATACCTTCGAAGCATTTCTTTAAATGCGGTTGAACCCTGTATAAAAAAATATTTTATCGACATCTGATTAGTCATTTTCAAAAACTTATTGTGTGAGTTTCTTTCCACCAAGAATAAACGACAAGCTGAAAACTAACATCGATTGGTTTTGCACTGTGAGAATTTCTCAATTCCTTAAGAAGTATATTTTGAATTAGTAAATGTAAAGGAAGCTATATTATTTAAAGACTTTAGAGAAAATTCATTATTCATATAACAAAATCTCTGATTTGATATCAAGTCATATACGACTGATCTGAGATAAGTGAACTTTATTTATAGCACCTTGCATTAATAATGCTTTATTAGTATAGAAGTTAACACTTCTTATTTAAAAGTTTGCGCAAGTTTACCTGGTAGGATCCTTAGTTTCAGATAATATTTCTAGTAGCTCGTCATTTGATAAGAAGAAAAACCTAGTAAACGGAGTACGTAAAGTTAATATATAAATACATAAAATATGAATTACAAAATAAAAAAAATTTAACCTTGGGAAATATAATCGCTTTTTCTCTAGGTAAGCATTGAGACCCTTTGTAATTTCGTCTAATAGATTGTTGCATTTTTTCAACCTTTCTGACATTTTATCAATTTCAATAACGTCTAACACTCTGGAATTTTCTGCAACGGATTTCATAATATCTCGCCACATCTAGAAGAATTAAATCTGGATTAAGCATAAATATTGAGACAAAACCAGAAGTTTTTTTGAGCAACTATGTAGATAACATAAATAAATATAAAATAGCATACTAATATATCATCTGCAGAAAGATTAATTTAAAATACTAATAATTACTTTATCCACAGCGCTGAATCTTCTGCCTTCTTCAGGCATTTGTTGCTGAATATCAGGCGAAGAAAAAATGGGTTCTAAGTACATCCATGTTGCTTGAACTTTCAGCCACTCATCCAATATTTCTTGTAATGACATCAACTTCTTTTCCCATATACTATAATAATAAAATTATTTCATATAAACGCATATATACTTATATATGTAATATTAGAACAAAAATTACTTATAATATGCAAGATAACTGGATTTTACGACTAACGGTAAATTTAACAAAGATGTGCAAAATTACACTAAATTTTTCGCACTTTTTATATTTACATAATGCTCAGCAATTTTTATTTTTAGCTACTATTTAAAATAGTAAGATGTAACAATAGATCTAATTTGACAGTAGATATTAAAAATATTGGATGATCAAAAAAGCAATTGATTGACCAATTAAGAAAAAAGTTAAAATTGGTAACATTCTCATTTAAATATTTAAATGTGTGATTAGCAACTATAACCATTTTGTTTTATTTTTCAATATTTTTCTCTTTACCAAACCTAATGATATCTTTTTTTATCAAACCCAAAGTAAAAGCATATTATATTGATGGCGCTAATAGCTCAATTTGTAACACTCCCTACACATGACATGTCTAAATTTCCATGTAAATAGATAATCGACAATCTATCAAAACAGCACTTCATAAATAGCGATTATAATCATGGTCCTAATACAGTTGAAATCATTAGAAATTCATTATAATTAAATTACGCCAAACATAATAAAATTTCCCTTAAATATGATTACTTGAATATTCAACATAAATGAATATATAATAAGTTTTGTCATATATATTACAACTTACGATGTTGGGCCTTCAAACGGTCCTATATATGGTGACCCCATCATTGTTTGCGTTTTGACTATATGGTCATCTAAAAGTAGTTGGATATCATCAACAGCTGCCAAAATCCAAGTGCCAGTATCTCTGAAAATTTTAATAATAATTAGTATATTAACCAAAAATTTACAAAAATATTTTGTTAATTAATTTGGCATTATTATAAAATAATAATGTTGTAAATGTCAATGATTTATAGTTCTTAGTTATATGGAAGTAAACTAAATAATTTCATTCCTAAGGTTGTATCGTTAACTATTATTGTCTGTTATAGTACAGTTAATATTAAGAAGTTCAATTTGAAACATTATTTTGTTGTTGTAATTAAATAAGGAGTATAACCAAATTTAAAAACAATTTACTTGTAAACGTTAACACTGAATGCAATATCAGCCCATTCAGATTGCATTTTGTAAAGAACTTTTTCGAGATTATTCTCTTTAGTAGCTGCTTCTGAGATAGCTTCAAATTGCGAGACAAATTCATCGAATCCATAATCAATAACTTTAGCCAGTGTTAATTTCTCATCGAATTGTATTGGTATTCCAACGACATCAGACACACGATCCCAATGACGCTTTTTCATACCAGTATTACCCAAAGTTTGAATAATAGGCATTCGTTCCTTGAAGTCTTCGATACGTTCGCGCACCTTGTATATTAAAGATATATTTGGTTTACTTAAAACAAAATATGTTCAAAATATTATATTTTATACGATTTACATGATGTTTATTATCAAAATTTTGTTCCCTAAAACTATATTTTCAGAACTATTTTACGACTTGCCTTTTCGAATACACTCACCGCTCGATTCACTTACATTTTTCACAAAATTCTATTCTAATCTATTACACAGCCTGTCTATAATGCATATGAATTCGCTTCAAGACCATGAATAATTTCATTTGATATTTATTTCAATTACGAAAACAGAATATTTTACGAACTATTACCAGATAATCATCAAAAATAATCCGTTATGTCTCTGACAAATATTTAAATCAATACCAAATTTAATGATTAATTTTACCTCTACAGCGATATCTCGGGGTGCAGGTTGCACGTCTCCGAACTGTTTTTCAAGTTTATAAACAGTTCTGTAGAATGTTGTTACATCTGAATCAATTTGTTCTGGATCAAATGAGCCAATCTGATAAAAACAATGAGAAGTAAATTTTTTATCTAAAATTTAAGGATTTCTCAATTTAAGCACATGAACTTACCTTTGAGTTCATCCACAGATCGTAACTTTCCAAATAAAGTGCGCAGTTATCGTACAACTTTTTATATGGTCCCAGCTTGTCATGAACTTGTTTTCGAAGAGGGTATTGAGTTGTTTCAAATCCAAATGCGACTTCTTCTTCATTGATCTTATCAATTTTCTCCATAGCTGCTATAAGTCTGAATTTTCAAAAAAAAAATTTAAATACAGTATATGTTCATTTTATAATCCACACGTGTAATTTGTTTTCTCTTTTAATTAGAATTCCCTTAAACTTAGAAATCATCGTACGTTTTTTGAAGTATTATTTAGTTTTTATTCAACATCTGCATAGCATACAAAATTTAATAACAGAAACACAATTTGTTTTTTAAATTTATAACAACAAAAACGTAGAAGACTAAATCGTCAAAGAATAATCTCATCAGTTTGGACTAAAATAAGTGCAACTCATCAAGCATGAATAATTATTTTTTTATTTTTATTTGAAAACTAAACAAATTTATTGTTGCATATTTGTGTACAATTTTAAAATCTGACCAACAAGCAAATTGAACAATTACCCATCAATCAGAAAAAAATTTAAACATGGCAAAAAATTAAGTAAGCTCTTCCAGAAAAAATAAGACTCATTAGAGAAATATTCATTGTTTAAGCTACTGATTTTAAGTTGGCAGTATTCATATATTTTCACGAAAATAATGATTGCCTTATTGTAAAAAATCCTGATTATCAATTATTGATATAATTAAGATGATTTTTTTTAGCAAGTGCACATTATACACATCTCAACATCATACTTATTGTCCAGAGCAGTAGCTTTCTTTCGATATTTAAAAAGGTCATCAAAATCACCCCAGCTCGAATATTCCTCAATTTGTGTTGCGTATTTTTCTAATTCATTAATAAATTTATCAATTCGCACTCGTAATTCTTCTTTGAATTGAATAGTTTTGTCTTCAATCACTTCTTTCATATCATCTATGACGGAAGGAAATTGAAGGTAGCTGAAATTTGGTACAAAAAAAAATTATAATTAGGTAAGTAATATAAAACTGCTGGAATAAAACATATATTATGTATGTATATAATTATGATAAATAGTGCTGCCCTAGGGCAAGTACGTGAGCTTCGATAAACTCAAACTCGATTCAGGGAAGAACAGTGTGAGAGGCTTTCGATTGCCATTTCACACCGCAGTGCCCGGAATGGGCTTTTTCCTATTGAAAACATATTTTTAACTTCCCGAAGGAGAAGTTTGTTTTCATAAAAAAATCAGATTCGCTAATTTTATGTTTTCTCGACGTTTCAAGCCACTCTGAATCGAATGAGACCAAATTTGGAAAAAGTATGTGTGTTTGTGTGTATGTGTGTGTGTGTATGTGAACAGATTTTTTGCCGTAAATCCACGTTTTCTTAAATTTAAAAGCCATTCAATGTGTCTCGATGAGGACTATTGTTTGTCAGTTTTGTGTGACGATCGGACAAGACGTTTCTTTATAAATAGCAAAAAAGTGAAAAATTTTTCGTCCACGTTTTAGCCCGCAATTCTGAATCGATTATGAAAATTCAAAAACCGTTTGAAAGATATTGGTTGGGAATCGTGCTGATTAGTTTTTGATAAAGACCCACCGGGCCGTTTTCTTGTAATTAAGTGTTAAAAAACTAGCTGTAAGTGGAATTCTGTCTTAAGGCAATTAGGGCATCGTGCCTTAAGGCAAATTGCTGGAACTTCCCGTACCAAAAATTATTTTTTTTAAAAACGATTAACATTTTTAAAAAAAATTTACTTCAAAAAAATAAGATTTTTGAGAAACTATAAATTGGACAAAAAATTACTTTTTTTTGAAAAAAAAAAATTTTTAAAAAAAAATTTTTTTTTAAAAAAAATTAATTTTTTTTTTTTTAAAAAAAAAAATTGTTTTCTTTATTTTGACATATTTTGGAAGATCTAAACTTGTTTTTCAAAGCAATCGTACTGCTTTAACTGCATATAGACAAAATATAAAGCGCGTAAGCGCGGCGTCGCTGTCTAACGGGTAAACATTGGTATGGAACCCATAGGAAAATAAACAAAATTTATACTTATTGTTAAAATCTCTATAAAATATCTGAAAATTTGATGTGCATATGTCTAATGATCATTTTTGACCGCCAAATTGGCTTTTTTTTTTGCTTTTTTCGTTAGATCTCCGAAACCGCTAGACCTGCCTTTATGAAAATTTGATCAATTCTTTATCTTGTCAATACAAGTAAAATGTTTTTTGAATTATTAAAATCGGACGCTCCGTTCTCTTAAAAACTGAGTTACCGTTTTCGGCACTTTTTGCCCCGTATCTCTGGAACGGCTGGACCTGCCTTCGCCAAAAACTAATCTGCACGTCTCCTTATCAATACGAATCGAATGTTTTTTGAATTATTTAAATCAGTTGATTCGTGTTCCCGAAATCGTCGACGAAAATTTGTATCCGCACATACATACACACACGCACACACACACACACACACACACACATACATCCATTTTTTCTAAGGTATGCCAAAATGTTCAGAAACCTATGAAACGTAAAGATATATAAAAATTTTCATTTTCGATTTTTTTGCGATTACTATAACTTACCCTACGGGAAGTTAAAAATGATTCGACGATTTTTATCATTATTTTTTACGGTAGATACTATAGTCTTCTAGATCATACTGAAATATTACGGCCCTACGTCAATTGATTTAACTTTAAAAATTCGTCAAAGTTTGCAAAAATTGGTATCGTTTTTTTGGCATTTTTCAAAATTAGATCTTTCATCGACGTTTTCTCAAAAACGCCTGAACCGATTTCAGAAATTTAAAAGCCATTTGATGTACCTCGATGAGGACTATCGTTTGTAAGTTTTGTGCGACAATCTGCCAAGCCGTTTCTTTGTAATTTGAAAAAAAAGTGTTAAACTTTTCGTCCCCATTTAAGCTCATACTACCGAACCGATTTAAAAAAATCAAAAACTGTTCGAAAGATATTGGTTGGGGATCGTGCTGATTAGTTTTAGGTGAAAATCTACCGAGCCGTTTTCTTGTAATTAACTGTTAAAAAAAAAATAAGCCGATTTTCATGGAACTTTTTTTTAGCGATATATATCATGGTCTTATAAAACTTACTGAAATATTAAGGCCTTACGACAAGCAGTTTAATTTTATAAATTCATCAAAGTTTGAGAAAATGACTAGTTTTTTCGGCGTTAGCTAAAATTGAAATTAGTCGATTTACTTGGTATAATAATAGAGTACTTGGTCTTAATGAACATACTAAACCATTCCTACGGAAACTGGTTCAAATATAAAAATTGTTGATGTTTGAAAATTTGCTTTTAGATAATACTGTTCGTTCGTTTTCAATTACGTGTAACAAATCAACTCAGAATACTTTTAATCTCTCATAAATTAATCTATTTCTTATTGATTAAGTCGATTATTTACACATGTCGGAAAGTTCATGTAACTTGCCTCAAGGCAAAATACCAACACCAACTAGTTTATCTATATTATCAAAAGAAAACAGACATCGCAACTGCACGATGTCAGGTTTTCCAGAGGGGTTTGAACTCGCGACCTTGTCCATACGAGTCCGTGCGTTTTGATATATATATATATATATATATATATATATACATATATTACATAAATTACATATACATCAACCCTCCTACAAAGCGGTACTCTGAGAGCGCGGTTTCTATACTACGCGGAGCTAAAATTGCAAAAACCTTCTTATAAGACAGTACTTCTGCAGCGCAGATTTTGTTCAACAAGTTTTATAATCGACTATTTTATCTTTCATAATATGTTCATATGAATATGCCCTTTCATATCATAACGACATTGGTTTTAGTAGTGTCAGAGCTCTTTCGCAGAACTTCTAACTCTAGTCCTAAAATATTTATACCTAAACTGATTTTATTGGGAAACAGTTTTTCGTTCTGTTTCCTTTTTTTATTTCAATGATAGATTACTATGTTACATATGAACAATATAAATATTATTTTTACCTCTGAAATGTGAAGTTATTCTGCTTAATTTCCATAGATTGCAACGGCTGATAATCAGATAGTATTAATATTTGTCTAAGTAATTCGCGCAATTTGTCCTCCATCGCATATAAGAAATGAGTCTCGCACTCTAATTCGTATGCACTGTATTCCATCAGCTCGGCAGTGTTCAGAGGTAGAACATTTGCATGTTCTGATATTCCAGTATACTCATCTCCAAGCCTAATTTTAGAATATATATGCGCACAGTTAATATTAATTAGAACAAAATAAGCCAAATGTTTTTTCAATTAGGCACACATTTTTTATAATTAGAAAAAATAATCTTATCACTAAGAAAAAATTAATTTTGTTGCTAGGGATGCCATAGTGAATTAGATTTTGCAGCAGAATTTCTTCAAATACTAAACTTTTTGCATTTAATTATACAGGGACCGGCAGGATTATTGGATGGATTTCCAAAAACTAACTATTAAATGACGATATTACCATAAGTTTGTGTATTACTAAATGTTCACAATATACTAGAGTTTATTAGTAAAAAATATCTTCCAAATGGTGTCTTTTGTTTGCAATTTCCTTACAGACAGTATCTTTGATATAGTTTGAGGACAGCTAGTGCACATTTTTTTTTACAGAATGTGCTCAAAAAAAATCACATGGTGTTAATTAAAGCAAAAGTTACTGGCCATATTATGAAATTGCGTTGTTAAATAATGTAGTCGGGAAAACATTTGATTTTACGTGATTTAACAAAGTGGCCCTATCTTATTGAAACTATATCTAACCAATGGGTTGCGCCAATTTGGGTTTCTGGAAGGTCTGTGACATATGACTCTTTAGAGAAGTATAGTTCCCATACTCAAAAGTGCAGATATCATCAAAAAATGACCTGACGTGCATTCAAATGTCTTTGAAAATAATGGCTACTAAAATTTTATTAATTAGTGCAATCACAAAACCCCAATACATTATTCTACATAGATCCATATAGAAACAACAGACGCTTGAAATCCATCCATCATTGTTTCTGCCTGACCATTTACATATAATAAATATACGTTAATGTTTAACAAGTTATTATACAAGCATTAGAATGAAGAGAATTCTCCAGGCTTTGAATAAAATATTTCAATGAAAAAAGAGTAGTAATGGTCATAAACTCCAAAAATCTTTACAAAAATCAGCGACGAGCATTACTAAGGGTACAAAAATCATTGCAACTTTGTCAATATTCCATATAATATTAACAATTTTTTTAATGCTATTTTAATATTTTTTGCACCATTAGTAAATTTGATAAGTTCATAATTCTGCCACTTACAATCGCATTTGTTCTTGATAAGTTTCAATTAAGTGATTTATAAGTCTGTCTTTAAATTTATTTGCAGCGTTAACCAAGGCATGTATCAAATCTTCTCTATGCATTTCAAAGAAGCCTAATGAAAGCACGTGCTCCAACTAAAATATTGAAACATAATTTTATCAGATAAATATGTCCTTTGAATGTAAAATATATTGTGAAATAAACTTACTTCAAGTGGAATATTTTCAGCTTTTTTGATCATAGCATCTATTGCTAAGCAATATTCATCAAAATCATGAGGCTCGGAAATAAACATATCTATTTTTTCCTCCATCTATAAGATTTTTTTATATTTTTTATGAGAAAAATATAAATTAATATATATACATATATATACAATTACATACAAGTCAATTATAATATTATATTAGGTTGTCAAATATCTCCCTTCCGCCTTTTTGTATTATAAACCAAGAGCAAAAAAGCGGAAGGGAGATATTTGACAACCTAATATTATCAATATCAATATTATCTCGTTGACCTTCATTGCATAAAAATTCAATAGTATTATATTTTCTATTGCTAGTTTTCATATTCATGAAAACTTTGTTTGGTTTGATCAAATTACTATTTACTATCATCTAAATTATCTAAAATAAGCTTTATGTGGTCCTAAATTTTAAAATCAGCTTAGAATTTCTTAAAATATTAAGAAAAGCGCAATATTTTATTTTCTTATTTTTATAGAACTATGTTCTATCAACTTGTTAATTTTTATATAAATATAATTTATCATTTTTTCAGTAATTATCTCGCTTAAAAATTTTAATATTAGATGAAACTAAGCATTGATAGGATAGTAACAAACTTTATACCTTAAATCTTAGATTAAATAAAGCTTGGAATCATATTTATTATTAATAATTACGTTTTGCTTCTGAATAAATAAATGTGTATATACAAACATGCATACAATATTTAAAATTTACTATAAATAAAACTTACCCGTCCGTTAATTAATTCTACATAATTGATAAAGTCCTGAACATGATGCAAAGGTTTCAATTTTTCTTTTTCCATTAGGTTGTGAATCTTTTTCCTGCATCTTTCAACCGTTTCTTCAGAAATCACGGGCTAAAATATATGCAATAAACTGTTGATTAACGCAAAATTGTAATATAATACATAATTATAAAATAATAAAAAATGCATAATTTATCATTCATAATAGTCATGAATACTACTATTATTGACAAACTGACAATATTACATATTGTTAATTTTTTTGAATAATATTAACTTATAGAGAATTATTGTCTTAAGGTGAATAATCATACAGACAACTTTATTTTATCTATTCTCAGATGACACTAATATTTAAAAAAATATATTATGCTCACATTGATCAGTGTTTTTTTTTTTCAAAAGTACAGTTTTGCCTTTAACTTTTAATAATGAAATTACCTTTAAACATTCTGGTTCACCAACATAATCCATATACAACTTTATTTCTAGCCGAGGTAAATTATTTACTGCTTTAATTAAATGAGCAAATACATCCAGTACAATGGTTTCTATTGTGTAGAAAGGTGGATCAAATATTAAACCTTGATTTTTAACAACAAGGTTTATCTGAATTCCTTTGAAATGGCGCTGAAATTTATATACAATAATACATATACATTATACATTGACATTATATATACATGTATATGTGAGTAGTGTTGTGAAGATTTGTATCTTTAATAGTAGTAATTTATTACAAGTCCAAATTGAAGCTCAAAACTTTGTTGAATTACCATTTACAGTATGCATATTATGGTTCAAGATCAGCATAAATCAAGTTTGTCAAAATTTTTAAAGAAGTTGATATTGAATTCAATTTTTAAACTGTCCAAAAATTGACACAAACAATTAATATATTTCAAAGAAAAAGGTATTGACATCTCCTTATAGATAAATTTAATCTGCATACAATTTATCCACCAACAGTTCAGGTTTAAAAAAATTCTTCCTTTCTGTAATTACACATTTAAGCCAAAAAATTTCAAGGATAACTTTCGCAAACGGAGTATCTTGAATCATATAGATTTAAATAGTTATTTAATCATTTGTAGAAAATATTTTAAAGAAACCATACCGATTCATTCATCAAATATGCTGTATAATCGAGAATGCTTTTCAAACAAAGCGTTTGGATTTGGTATGTCATTATTACAGAAGTGCAATCGAAAAATCTTCTGCACGACTTCGGTCTTGTATTATCTGGCACTATTCCTTTTTTAAAACCCTGCAAAAATATTTCTTGCAGTTGGAGAAACCATTTGGTTAAAAGAATTTTTCTGGCGCCATCAATATGTCTCTTAATTTCCTTGGCGAATCCTATTATATCCGGAGCCTTTTTCGCATTTTTCAACACGTTTATATCTATTAGACGAAGATTTCTACAAAGAAATCAAACCATATCATAAAAAAAATACTTTGTTACTATTTGTTATATTATATTACTATTTGTTAAAAATAGTAAAAATCAGAATTTGGAGATGAGCGTCTTTCATACTGAGAAGAAGTCTAAAGGAAATTCTATAAAAATTTCAAATAAATCGTTAGAGAATAATTTGAAAAATCGTAGGTATCGTATCAAAAATGACAATTTCGTATACATATTATGGAATAGTTAGATTTTGAAAATGAGAAAATTGTTTTTTTTTCAAATTCTGGACCTCCTTGAAAATGATTTATACTGCAATATGTCTTAAGATAATAACTGAATATTTAACTTACTCAAAATTAAGTATCCAAACTTCTAAACTTTTCAAAACACAAGGGTTAACAATGTGAAGTATGCGCTCGATTCTTTTTGAACTCGCATCAAAAGTGTTTCTGTAAACTTTCAATGTTTCAGAGCATTCTTTTCTTTCTGGTGATGAAAATTCTTCAATCTATAATATAATATATACATTTTATAGATACGCATGCATATTCTATTTGATCAATTTAGCAAAACTGTAAATCATTTTATAAAAGCAGTTTTATAAATCAATAACGAACTTTGTTGAAGTTATTTATTTAATGATAATTAATCGATTACCCTCGCATTGATTTGTGATGCATCCTTAAGAACAAAATCTACAATAGATTTTTTAACTCCATATAAATATTCTTCTTCCATTTCATCTTTAGAAGCATCAAGAGTACTCGTCCATTTTTGCAGGCGAACAGGTATTAAACCCATCACTCTAAAAACAATTTTAATGACAGACTTTAAGTTTATTAGCAATAATAAGCAACTTTCTTCTTCGCTTTATAATTAAAAATCGGTAATTTAATTGTACAGATCAGCCCAACAAATGTAATAAAAACTTTATTTTAAACATATTTTCACAAATTTTAATTTGTGCCCTTGCGAATAAAATGAAACCAAAATCACACAGTATTATATTTTTTGTAAGTTCAAAATAACCTTAATTAATATAATATGAAAAATAATTCTACTAGAACTATCTTAAGAATTTTTTGACTAGATGTAAAACTAAAAGTTATTGCAAGTATTAACTTATTTATGAATAAATTATTTCGGCGTGTAGGTGATAGGAGATGTAGGTTCTTCAAGAACATTGTAAAATTAAATTTAAAAAAAATAAAAATGGGGAGTCACAAATGTATATAGGTAAAAGTTGCTCAAGTCGTATCGTTGCCTAAATCGTACATATTTTGAATTTTATATTGTGAATTACATCATTTGGTACGGTTAAATACAACTGTTTAGTTGACTAATAAGCAAACGTTTAGAAAAATTGAAAAGCTGCCCGACTTTGTGAAACATAGATTTCAAAAGGTCAAGTTTCTACTCAGTCATATGACTTTTATAGAAATAATATTATTATGAAATTTTATTTTCATAAAAAATGGTAAAATTTGTTAAGGTTATGTCAAAAATGTTTGGAATTCCAAACTTCCGAAACCTTGCAAATATAAATAAATAATGTGTTAAATACAACTTTAAATACAAAGCATTTGGTTAAATTGGAAATCACAATGTGAGTGCTATCAATAACGACTTTATCTTCATGAACTTTCCATACGGTTCCATAGCCTAGTTACTAGTTATAATAATTTTATATTCGTTAGTTTTTGAGATCATGGGGCGATTGAGATTACTACTAAAAATTATAAAAAGAATTCAGTCTTGGATCAACTTTTTTTTTTAGTTATTAGTTTCCAAGTCAAACACATGAAGTAAATTAATAGTGGCCGATTTTGTCGTGAAATACACTAATGTTATGGCAAGGCTATGTTACGCAGCATTTTTCATATAAAATGGTACAAAAAAGATAATATTTTAGATAAAAAACCTAGCCTAGAAAACAACACACTCTTATCGTGAGTCTTTGTGATGTGGCATGATAAAACATACATAAAGTTAGATTTAATGTCTGAAACGCCTGATCGCACAGCAAATACATAGCATTGTGATAGTTTTTAGTGCCATTTTTATATGAAAAACGCTACTTAACATAGCCTTGCCATAAGATTGGTCTATTTCATGACAAAATCGGCTCCTATTAATTTATCATAAGTGTTCGACTTACCTAACAAAAAGTTTTTGATCAACTGTATTTTATGTAGTTTTTTTTAGTAAAAGGTTCCAATAATCCAATAAGGCGCAAGGAGTAGAGTAGGCGCGTTGATGGTATCGAAGTCAGTTTTTGTAGAAACGGTTACTAATTATATTTTTCCTGATATTGATATAAATATTAAAATATATAAACCGCAAAAATTTCGATATTTTTGAGAATTATCAAGTTTTAAAATTTATATCTAATATTATTCATGATATCAAATATTTTTAAAACTTAAAAAAATTCGAGAATTTTTTGTAAGTACTATTTTCTCCGTTTTGATGTTCTGTACGAATTTCATATGATTTACATATTTTAATATTACATGTTTATTACATGTCTTTATCTAATATTTGTTTATAACACGGACAGTGCTTCAGATAGAGGTTAAAATAAAAAAAAAGTGTGTTACTATGCTTAAATGTAATTGCGCACCAAAACACACCGCTTCCATAAAGTTAATCACGATACGATTATAGAAAGTAATTGTGTTATAGTTCTACATAAAAATATACGAATATCCCATATACGACTATAGTTTAATGCTTTAATGAATCAAATACCTTCTCATAAGATTCGATTCCATGGGGGCGACGTGCACAGTGTCTGCCCCAGATTGTATGTAATAGTAATAACGCAGTGTGTATCTATCCCTTTCCGAGAGAGGTCCTTCCGGCGCATCTTGTTCGGACTCTTGCTCCATGATTAACTCGACAAGACATTTGCGAAATTCTTCACGCATCTTTTTCTGTTGCGTGAGCGATTGACTGACTACAATAAAATATTTAGAAATGAGAATTAACAAATTGCAAGTGGCTTTTTGCATTAGGACGATACGTGTAAATAATCGACTTACAGGTCAATTCTGCCGTAAAATAGACGTATGTTATGGCAAGGCTATGCCACGCCGCGTTTTTTATGTGTAATGGTACTAAAAGTTGACAAAATGCTATGTATTTACTGTGCGATCAGGCGTTTTACACATAAAGGTAACTTTACTCATATGTTATATGACACATCAAAACGGTGAATTTTTCTGACGTTTCTGCGTTTTCTAGGCTAGGTTTTATATCTGAAGCCCATAACTGGACTACATAGCATTTCGACAGTTTTCAGCATCGTTTTATATGAAAAACGCTACGTAACATAGCCTTGCAGTTGGTCAATTGCAAATTTTGGTCTATTTTACGGCGGAATTGGCCCGTTAATCAATACAAATTTAGATTTACCTAATCAAATAGAATATTCGAATATTTATTTCAGAAATTAAGTTCTCGGGTTTACTTAAAACTAATCAGCGCGATTTCCAATTAATCTTTTCTTAATGATAGTACACAAACAAACTTTCGTATATCAGGTTTAATGATTTTATTTTAATTAATTTACTTTTATCAGGACTATAATATTTGAACGTTTTGATAAAACTCTATTCCCATGTTAAGTTTCATTAAAATCTTTTTTTTTAAAAAATAACACTTATGCCATTTTTGATGTTATACAATCATGTCTGTTTTTTTGCGAAAATGTGACGAAGAATTATGCCCTTTTTTACCAATTTTAAAGAAACTTTCTTAGACTTATTGTGGCGCAAAACTTATCAAACAAAGTCCTTATTAAGTTCATCGAATGGATTTTAAAGTTTGAGGCATTTTTAAGGAAACGTCGACGTACGGGTCAAATTTTGACTCACATCCACATACCTATTTCTTAAATTGGTCTGCAAGGTATCAGAAAATCTTAAAAAGTCGAAAAAAAACATCTAAGAAGTTGGCAAAATGATACAACTAGTTCGATAAGTTAAAAAAAACAACATGAATCATCCATTACTTTTATTAAACGAAATAAACTAAAAGCTGTTTTCCAGCAAAAAAATTAACATATTAACTTCCCGTAGGGCAAATTATAGTAATCGCAAAAAAAATCGAAAATGAAAATTTTTATGGATCTTCACGTTTCAAAACCTTCTGAACATTTTGGCATACCTTAGAAAAAATGGATGTATGTGTGTGTGTGTGTGTGTGTGTGTATGTGTGTGTGTATGTATGTTCGGATACAAATTTTCGTCGACGATTTCGGGAACACGGATCAACCGATTTGAATAATTCAAAAAACATTCGATTCGTATTGATAAGGAGACGTGCGATTGGAATAATTCGAAAAGCATTTTATTTGTATTGGCTAAATGAAAAACTGTTCAAATTTTTGGAAAGGCAGTTCCAACGACTTTGGAGATATGGAGAAAAAGTAAAAAAATGCACATCAAATTATCATATATTTTATAGAGATTTTAACAATAAGTATAAATTTTGTTTACATTCCTATGGGTTCCGCGGCGCTTTGATATTTCGTCTTCATGCAATTAAAAAAGTACGATTGCTTTGAAAAAAAGTTCAGAATTACCAAAATATTCTAAAATAAATGATTTAAGATAGAATGATTTATTATGGTTCGAAATTCTATTATAAGTTTCAATTCATTCATCAACTTTTATTGATTATTATTATTGATTATTTTTAATCACTCGAATTTTGAATTGCGGTACGGGAAGTTCCAGCAATTTGCCTCAAGGCACTATGCCCTAATTGCCTTAGAACAGAATTCCACTTACAGCTAGTTTCTTTTTTATTTTGAACACTTGGTCACAAACAAAATGCGCTGTGAACGAGCTTACAAGACACGTGACACTACCAAGGGGGCATCCATTAATCACGTGACGTTTTTAGGGGAAGTAAGGGGTTTAGTAAGATATCCCGTGTATTTATTATCTATTTTTTTAAATCCAAACATTTCCAAAAACATACAAAAAAAAATCCATTTCTAAAATTTTTCTCAATCCAAGTGTACCAAGTGTTCATTTATAAAAGCAATCATTACTAGTAATACAAAAGAAGCATAGCCCAAAAGGATAAGTAAGTTCTATAAAGTGAATTTAGTAATAATAATATTGAAAGCAAAGTAGTTACTTGTCACCAAACTGTTACTCCTGTCGCGCCTCTCTTGGCTTAGCATGGAGGGCGTTTTTTTGGACTTCTGTTTCGCATTTTGTAAAGGGTTTCTTAACAGATGCTGCGGTATTCGAAATAGTGGCTTCGACAGAATCTCAAAATCTGACGGAAGATCAAGTTTAGCAGGTATACTATCTTCGGATACAGAAGTACTCGTTCTGGACAAACATGATGCTGTTGATGCTTCACTTACTTTATCAGATTGGTCGGACTTGCACGGCTTGCGATCCATTACAACTGATATATTAATTAAAATAAATTCAAAGTATATATTTACAAGACAAATTTGATTATATTTATATATAAGCTAATCTTGAATTAAACCACTTGCATTAATTCAGTACAATTTTGAAAGAAAATGGGTAGAACTATCGTTTGTAATAGGTTCAATATAGGATAGCGCGACGCTTAGAGGTCCACCACCAATATCTCAAAAACGAGTTGAGTTAAGAATTATTTTAAGACTTTGCTATCAGGAGATAAACACAATATTTGAAAATCCATAACAAAAGTATTTTCTTTCGTTGTTAGTTTTTTTGGTTGTGACACCATTGTTTAGTTTACCAGACCCAAAAATAATTTATTTGCAATTGTGTTCGTTATATAATTGTTTTATAAGATGTATTGATAATTTTAAGTTAGATTCAGTTTTTTTTATATAACCTCTTTTAGACCGTACTACTAAGTGTAGTGGTGTAAAAAGAACCAACTGAACCTTAGCCCTTGCAGAGGTGTAAACAATAAAAATTAGTAAATAAAAAAGTAAATTAAGGTAAAAAAAGCAGATTTACCAGAGATAAACTAAATTAATAGTTACTGCAAATGTGATAATAAATATTTCTGATAAAATTACTTATCCAGATATTTAACCAGAGATTAGGATTATATACAGTGTCAATCTCTGTAAAAATGTACCCACAAAATTGATATTTTGCATTAGTTGAATAATGTAGCTATTATTTTGTAAAATCTCTCTAAAATTAAAAATAAGACATTGTTCCATTTTACCCCGCTTATGGATTAAAAAGAACTAGGAGACAATTTTTTGAAAAAACAGCGAAACAACACATTTCTACAAAATGATGAGTTAGCTGAGATTTTTCTAAACATAGTCAGATAGTTGTTTGTTTGATATGTGCTATTTGTTGTGATATAATTGATGTGGTTTTCACAATATAATTACTCAAAGCCATGTGCCTCACCTTACCCTATGTATAGCTATATAAAAAAGTATATAACTGACATTGTTCACCATATATTTTAGTCATTAAATTATATTTTATTAATTAGATACCAGTTTGGTGTAAGAATATGAAAAAATGTTAAATTCTTTTGTATTAACCGTATAATGCTTATTGTGGTCTTGTCATTCATGATTTACACAAACCAAAATTAAACTTTTTCTTAAACAGACTAAATTTTCTGTAATTCGAGTAATGCAACCACTATTAGAAATTATGCATCAAGTATGGAAAAATACTTGTCTTAAAAAAATGAATTTATGAAGCGTATTGTACGGTTGAAATTAATTTTCACAACTATTTAAAATAAAAAGTTTATTGTGATGGTAATTTGAAAAGATATTAAACGTGTGTTCATTAAACTGTAGCAAAAAAAAATTTTTGTACTTTTCAACAGTATTTTCACGAGATTTTTTTTTCAATATGCTTCTAAATCAAGATTATGTACAATGTACATAATTAAAACTCTTATTATAATTATGAACGCCTACAAAGATAATGCTTATAAGTTTTGTTTACATATTACTAAAATATTAGAAATTGTCAAAATTTATGTAATATTGGCTAACTTAAATACCTTTTTATTTCTGTATCAACAGTCCAAAACAAGCAGCTCAAGGTACTAATTTCATGCATATCATAGCGTTTAATAATATTACTTATTCTAGTTGATTATAAAAAATTATTCAAAATATATATAAATATAAAAATTAAACTTTTTTAAAGTAGACATAAAAATAGCTATTCATATTTTTTATTCAATTTGACAGTAAAATTTTTGTCGTGTTATTTTTCATAAATCGATCAATAAAATTTAAATGATTAAGAATTGCAATAATCTGGCCGACTTTTATACATAAATGGTAACAAACATTGTAAGTTTTATATAATGTATTTCATGATATAGTTAATTTTCAAGCAGACCACCAAAATATGTATTTATAATTCATATATAGAGAAGAAATTAGGATCGATAGAACTGATGGCGATTATCTAAATTGATAATACTGCTGTCAATAACTAAAAATGATTGATTAGTTTGAAATGGACTCAGTTAAATCTTTTATGATAAATAAATTAAACGTTTTTTATCATTTTTTACAAAAATATGTCTAGTCGTATACATATATTTAATATAATTTAAATTTTATTATTTTAATTTAAATATTAACACACTTTTAATCATTAATAAAAACGACCTACTGAAACATATCTATAAAATTGCAAATTAATAAAGAGACTGAAAGAATATTCATGAAATAATATAACGAAGAAATATGCTTTCAAAAATAATTAATACAATCAAATCATTTAGTTTTAAACATAATCTTAAAATATGACTTTTAGCTAACAATATTTGTATGGTTTCAGCAACATTATGATATTTACTAAAATAATATATTCATGCTGCCCCTAAAATATCTGTAATGGACAAAAATGGCAATGACGAAAAGAATAAAGAAAAACAAATCGACGAAAAAACGAAAAAGAACGATTCAAATTTTCAGAAAAAAGAAAACACAGAAGGAAAATTTGCGGATAAACATTTAGAACAGGGTGGCAAAAGAACTGAAAATAAATCGAGTAATAATGATGGTGCCAATGGACCGCCTGCACAGATTCTGAGACATATTATTGATAGTGTATTAGGTGAAAATGTACCAAATAATCAAAGAATGGAAGGAAAGAAAATAGCATCTGATAGTTATAAAATAATGTCGTTTCAAAATATGGCGCAACAGGGCACATCTAAACAAGAACCTATTATTCCACCTTCGACGAGAGTAAACAGCCAAAATCCTTCCACCTGTAAGTACCACATTATACTAATTTTAACAATATTTCAAAATAATTCTAAGATCTGTGAAGCAAAAGTATTACGAATATATAGTGAATTATTTGTTTCTTGTGAGATATACATTAACCTTTTCTGTCATTTGAATAAAAATTACGATCATATAAGAAGGTTTTCCTTCGGGCTACAAACAAATTTGAGCTTTATTGGTTCTCCATAAATCCATATATCATACATCAATTATTCTATCAAAATTATATCAAATCATATTATTAAATAATATAATATCTTGGAATTCATCCGGATGATGCACTATATATGTTCGATTTGAAATTCTGTACCCATTTAAAAACTAACGTGATATGCAAAGTTTTCCAAACCCCAAAACATTTTGTTTTCGCGATACTTTACAGAAAATTACTGATATTTCAAATATAAAATTATAAAGCATCTCGAATAATCATGTAGTTCAAACCGACATGTTTTTCGACTTTTGGCCTATATTTTTATAAAATAAACCAACTAGAAAATGATGTTAGAAAAAAATTAAAGTTTGTAACATTTTTACAATGTGCCAAATATGGTAATTCAGCTTTTGAGGTAACGGAGCGTCCGATTTGAATGATTCAAAAAATATTTTATTTATACTGAAGTTAAGATCTAGCGGTTTTGGAGATCCATTAAAGAAAGTATAAAAAAATGTTATTTGGTGGACAAAAATGATCATTAGATATATGTTCATCAAATTATCAGATATTTCATAGAAATTTTATTAATAGTAGAAATTTAGTTTACATTTCTATGGGTTCCGTACTAATGTTTATCTTAAGTAGCATCTCTCAAAAGACTATAATTTTCTTATATCACTTAATATATTGTACAAATCTATATTGCCTTTTATGTCCAAATATTTTAAAAAAAATCTACGCAAGGGCGCGAGCGTTCGAATTGAAGTTCCGTATAAACTTTATTTATTGGGTTGTCCGGAAAGTAACTTCGTTTTTTATAGAAATTTTGTCCAGTAATTTGCGTACAATAAACAATTACTTGAATAAATTATGTATTAGCAGTTTTGATCGAACATCTTTTGTCATATAACTGGTATTAGCACAATTTCAAAATCATAAATGTTTTGGTCGTTATTGGCAAAAAACTGATCAAAGAGCTTTTTGACCGGGTTATTTGTAGTAAAGGTTTTACCGCCTAAAAATTTTTTTAGTGGCTGGTACAAATAATGTCCTATGATGGCAGATCTGGAGATTGACCAAACTTATGTGAGGTCTTCAAAACCTGATAACTTCCAAGACTTTTCAGAGGCGAATCGCGGACGCCAGTGCCACGGCACAGGTTTCTTTCTATGAGAACCGTACTTTGAGTTTTGAAATCCCAGACCTTTTAAGTGGTCATGAACTGTTGATAAATTTTTACTCAATGGGATCTCATGTATTGTTATTCGTCGGTCTGCATCAACTAATGTCTTCCTCGCGTCTTTATCAGCTTTAACCGCAATTTGGGCATCAAAATATCAGGAATGAAATTTAGCAATCCAATTTTGGCACTGTCACACTATCAACATGTCATTTCCGTACACATTGATCAATTTCATTTTTATTTAAACTGTTTTCTTAGCTTTTCTATGACAAAAGAGTAAAATATGTTGAAAATGCTTAATTCTTTCCGTATTCAAAGTGGCACCATCCAAAAACTACTACATGTAATTGATTAGAATTTTTCACGCACAAGCCTTAAAATATAAGTTTTCAAATCATATATTATTACACAGGCCAACAAAGAAAATGGTGCAAATGATTTTAATGCTGTTTTTAAGTATATTTGGGGCGCTGATTTCAAAAATGACATTGTTTTTTTTTCTATGATCTTTAGTTTTCAAGATATGATATATATGATATATTAGGTGCGCAACTAAGTTCTCGCTGTTTTTTCGATGAAAATGTAACTTTATTATAAAAAAATTGCATCAATTGAGTTCGATACAGTTCTTTAATGATGGTTTCGCTCGGTTTCAACAGCTCATAACAAATAACACTGACCTGGTCCCACCATATGTAAAGCATAACCTTCACAGTGAATATTCGGCCAAACTGAGATTTTCTCCTCTTTGGATTGTTGTAATTTATTCATTTTTTATCACCTGTCACGATGTGATGAAGAACCTCTTCTTTTCTCGCCGCTGGA